GGTACGTCCGCTCACCTCGGCATGAGTCCTTCGCCAACAGATTCCCGTGGGCCGGGTGCACAAAGATCTGGCAGCCCGTGGGCAGCAGCGGCATTCCCGACTCAGAAGATGGACCTGCGCCGAGTTCTGACAGAGACGCCAACAAAGTCTGCCTTGTCCGCCGGCATTGCAGCGCAAAAGACCAAAGAAGCGTCCCCCAAGCCAGCGCAGCCCAAGGTGTCGCAAAAGGAGCGGAAGAAGCAACAGATGGCCCAAGCCGCTGCTCAGGCGGCCCTCGAAGCTGAGGTCCTACAACCTAAAGCGGCCTGGGACAAGGAGGCAGCTGGCAATAAACCTGCCCCCTGGAAGCCTGTCGCGAGCGGGCCCAAGACGTCGTTGAAAGATACCCTAGCCAAGGACTCGGCCAAACCTGTGTCACCACTAGCGGACAACCCGAACTCGAAGCAATTACTCTCGGTCGAGAGCTCCGCGAGATCCTCGCCGCGGAGAGCAGCTTCGCCGGACACCCGCTTCCCAGGCCAATCCCGCGTTAACAACTCCTCCCCTGCGGTGGCAGGCGCCTCCTCGACAAGTCAACCTACGTCGAAGCCGCTGGTTCCGCACTCCAAGTCCTACATCACGCCCGCGAACAAGGCCGAGCCCATTTTGGGATTGAGCATGGCGGACATCATTGGCCAGCAGAAGCGGGAGCAGGAGATCGTGAAGGAGGCCGTCGCGAAGAGGTCGATGCAGGAGATCCAGCAGGAGCAGGAGTTCCAGGAGTGGTGGGACCAGGAGACGCGGCGGGTGCAAGAGGAAGAGGCGAGGCGCGAGACAAAGGATAAGGCGCCGAGGGAAGGCAGGGCGCAGAAGGATGGCGGCGGTGGCGGCGGCAGCAGCAGCAAACGGGGACGACGGGGTCGGGGTGTCGCGAAGGGAAAAGCAGCCGGTGGCGCTCCGGGCCAAGAACACGGCGCTGCGGCCGCTGCGGGCAACGTTGATGCCGGAGTACCTCCTCCGGCCAAGGCGCCCGGCGGACCGGCGAATAACTCCCGGGGACGGGGTCACCGGGGGCGGGGGAGAGGTGGAAAAGCATCGACATCCGCAGTGGCATCTACATTGTGATCTTTTGTTCTTCTTGTTTTATAACTGATTTCTAGGGCGTTTCAAAGGAGTCTTAAAGCCCGACAAAACCTCGAGGCAAAGCACGCGGTCAGGCATGGGTCTACGTTTTGGGAAACACGGGAATTGGCCTTTTTCTTTTGATTTAGGCGGCATTGGCGGACACAACATCACATATACACCTTGTGGCTCCAACTTGCTTTTCTACTTGGTCCCATAGACGAATTGAGAAGACAGACACAGAGAGAGAGACGCAAGAGAGAGACAGAGAAAAGAGACTTCTTCACTCCCACATGCTGCATCGCCTCAACCGCCACCGCTTCCAAAGGAAAACAACTTGCACGATTCAGTCTTTTTGGTGACCGTTGAGCGCTAAAGAATGGCGTGTAGTGGACTTGTTGCTTTTGGTTCTTCTTCGTTTAGTCGGTTGGTCGGTAACACTAATACCATGTGACCGGCAGGGTGGAGAGAGAAAACGTTGCCAAGAACGGTTTACTCTCTTATTCTAGACTACAAGCCCCCGCCCTCGGCGATTTTACCACGATGTCGTGTGTTCCCTTGATCAGAACGACCAGCAGTGCTCTCCTCCGATATACAGTCTCACAGAGTGTATCTGTACGCAAGTGTAAAAAAGGGGGAGGACGAGTACTACTGTCGGGGAGAATGGGTCCGATCTGCAGACGCCGGTTCGGATGCAGCGTGCCACTGCGCCAGAACCAAAAGTCACCATGAGTTGCGTTGGTGCGTGATGCGTGGGTGGTGCGCGGTTGACTTGACTTACGTTGGACGGGGTGCGGGGGAAGGAGGAGGAGGAGGAGGTAGGGCCCGGGCCGGAGCATGGTGTTATCGTTATCTGCGGATATCACGAGTCGGGGTAGGCACTGATAATGGCAATGGCAACCAACCTGAAGCACCTCACCGTAAGATGATGGTGGTGATGCTGATAAGGGGGCCGGCTTGCTAGGCTGGCTGATGGATGTGCAGGTTGCTAGTTCATTGGCGATCGGTGCGATGACTCGTTTGCCCGGGGAGAGGTTGCTTGCTGCTTGGCTGCTTCGATTTGGGGATTGCCGCACATGCCGCCAGGGGGGTGGGATCACGACAACAGTGACAGGCAATGAAGCGGCAAGGCCAGATGGAGTAGGTCGTTCGGGGTTTGCCTTGCCACGCTTTACCTACCTTGGTATATTGACGAGAGATCGATTTCTCGGACGGTGCCATTTATAGGACCTGCTGGAGGCTGGATCCGGCGCGTTACGAAGTTGCCGCCCGTGGACTCTGGAGAGACGACGATAAGAGAGGCGGGTACTCTGTCAACCTGTAAAACAGGATTGGGGGTTCCCAAAGAAAAGGAAGGAAGACGAGCTGGGCGCTACGGTGACGGGAGAAGGATTTCCGGGATCAACCGAGGACCGGGCGAGTTGAGTGCCTACTGTTAGTGTCGACTACCGGCGTGCCAGCCTGCGTACCTTGGACCCTGCCATCTATCCGCCTTTTCGAGGTTGTCTTTGGCCGTCGTGGACTTGGACGAGGGAAGCGTTGGCGCACCTTGTTGACCTTGACGTTCACTTGATGGACACAAGGGGGTTGGTTGGGTTCTCAGCCGCAGAGGCGCACCGGGGGAAGGAGGGTGGTTGCTAACAGACTAATAGTGCCTTGACAGTCGTAGACAAGACAAGGGACATGGCGAGGCGATGAATCGAGGATTGATGATTGTGCTTGGATGGCCCGGCCTGGATGCCAGCTGTCAGCGGGCACCTGTATGTACTTGATCCAAACCCAATTCTTGCCGCATTGCAGGGGCTTGGGTAAAGTCTGCGATACTGGTACAATGTCAACACGTCAACAAACAAACACTGCTGCGGCCGAGAGAACTGGCCCTGGCCTGAAGCAAGGCAGAGCAGAGACGAGCGAGACTGACCACAGAAAGTCAACGAGACACAAATCGGCAGAGGCGAGGGAAGAGTGGAAATGACTTACCTAGCAGAGCCGCCCGGCACCCCTTACCTATTACCCCGTCATTTCTCCCCCAGAACCCAGCGGTCATGCATGGGGTGGAGTTGAGGCCATTCTAAGGTCCGGGCTTGGTACGGAGGGTCGCGGCGGTGCCTATTCCCCATCCAGGACCTTTCTGCATATTGGAGGCGGTAACCTCAAGCAGTTCTACCGCGTCCAGGACTCAAGAGTCAAGATGTGAGAGCCAATCCCGATGGATTTGATTGCCTGGCCACTCCGTATCGGGGCAAGTGTCTGTATGACTGTGAGGTGCAGCCCCGGGCGCCCCATACATGATACATGCAACTGGCGAAGGCTTGCTCAAGCGGGCGAGTGGCAGCCTAGCCGAGGAGAAGAAGTTGAGCCTCGAAGTTGAGGTTGGGGTTGACCGTTGACCATTAGCCGTTGGAGATTGAGATGGAGTTGGAGTCAGAGATGGAGTCATGTCGATTCGAGGACGATGATGATGACTCTGACTCGGATGGTAATCTGTGCCATCCATTCTCCTCTTTCGTTTTCCTTTCTTCTTTTCTGTAGGTATTCCCTTTGTTGACATTTCTCGATAGATTGATAGCCTCAGGTCAGATGGGGCCATCAATTTAGTCCCAGGGATGCAATACAAAGACTCTCGGTGATTGAATGAGAAGCATGCATGCAGAAAGCATTTCAGGAGAGAAAAGTGGAAGAATGGGAGTCTTCACCCCACGGCCATTGTCACACAATGGAAAGGACGGTGCGATGCATCTTGACGAACGGTCCAACTGCCCTGTGTAACTGGTCCAACTGAGAGGCAAGGCACGGTACTTTGACATCAGGGTGCTCAAATGTCACTACGTACCTGTGATCGTGCCTGAGGGAATACCTAGACACTCACAACGCTCATCATCAGTCAATGGAAGGAGATGCAGGAAGCTTGCAGCTACCAACACCAGCAAGTCACGACAATGCCAATACTAACAACATCAGCACCAGCAGCGCAACCTCAAACCCCAGCTCTGTTCCGTCCCATCCCATCCTATTCAAGTCAACCTAACGGAACGATGCGTGCACAGGTGTGGTGTCTTGGTCCACCGCCCATGACAGATGCAGCCCCCCTGCTGCTGCTGCTCCATGCCCTGCCCCATACTCATCATGCCCCTAGGTACTACGTACCCTACTCCGTACAGGTCACTGGCCTACCACATGCTGCGGCTACTGGCTGATGCTCCTGGCACGGATACTTCCACTGTCCAGGTTGTTAGCAGCATGCCGGGGCGGATGCGCTGCCGCTGCAGGACCCAGACCAGCCGGTGCCAGCTCCTCTCCTCCCCCTACCTCTATCTTCCAGGTTACCACAGTACCTTACCTGGCCCTGTCACTCTTCTCTCTCTCTCTCTCTCTCTCTCTCCCTTTCGCTGTGAGTGAGTCCATCTCCCTATCGCTGTGAGTCTCTCCAAGTCACTAACAAGCACTTCTCACTGTATCTGTACTTTCCATGTGTGCTTATCCACACACTCAGACAACTAGGTACGACGAGAGATCCATGTCATCGGCCTCCTCAGTGTCTCTCCCTTCCCATCTCTCTTCCATCATCCTCTCCAAATCTACTTACTCTAATACTCCGTATTACCTACCGGTATCTCTCGCCCTCCCTCGCTTTGTGTCTCTCTTCCTACCCGGCAACTACTCGGACAACAATCCCTTTGTCTTTGCCTGCTCTACCTATACTTACTTACTTCTTCTTGTCCTCTTTGCATCATCGCCTCTGGTCCTTGCGCCTTATCGCCCTTGGCCCCCATTCTGACGCTAAATCTCCGTCCCTTCTCTACTTGCCATAACCTTTCCCCCATCATCAATCTTCTACACTTTATCTCGGTCTCTCCGAGTCAGCATATCCCGTCTGATCTTTGACTGCGGTGCCTGTTTCTCCTTCTGTGCCGTCCTTAGCCCCCCCTTGCCTCTTCGCTGCGAACGCATCGACAAGTATACACCGCCTTACTTGCTCGCCTGAATTACACTCCATTCTGCTGGCCCACCCAGGTGACTCGATGACGGAAGGGTACTTGTCGACGATCACGAGGCTCAACAACCATTGAGCGGATGACACCAGCGCCGATAACCTCCGACTCGACGACCACAGCACCGCAACTCCGCAGATCGCCGCCCACTCTTCTTTGATTTCCTCTCTTTTCTTGGAAATCCGAAAACCACACCAGCCGCGCATTTTGGAGCGGCTCGTCTGCGTTGTTGGAGGACGTGCTTAGGAGGTCCCTTTCCCTGCTTGGCGAAAGCTTCCCCTCTGTCACCACCACTTCTCGTTTCGACATCCATACTCCCATACCGCACCCAACCGAGAGCCATGGTCCAAGGCAGCGCTTAGCTTGTACATTTCGCCCTCGACCTCGTTCTACGGTTCTGCAGTTATCCAGCTCTGCTCGCCAACACCCTTGGCCTGCTTGTGCGATATCGCTTCTCATCATTCGCCGCCCGTCTCCACGTTGACTTTGTCGCCCTGCCCGCCGTTGCCTGCGTCGTTGCGCGCCTTTCCCAAACGGCCCCGCCACAACTGCTCTCCCTCTCCGTCCTACGAGCTCTCCTCCGACCGGCCGATTCCCCCCTCGCTGTGCGCTCAAAGACTGAGGGTGTCGAGGTGTTGCACTTCCTATTACAGTTGCCATGAAGGATGGATGAGCAGGTTCGGTACCAACCCAACTTCGACATCGCGAATACCTTCCCCCGCGCCGCCTAGAACTTCCTTTACGAAATCGCAACACACAGCTCACCGCTGCTTTCCCGAAAGCTTAGCCTACCCCGGCGGCTCTTCAGATCAATCTTGTCCTAGACTTGCCCTTGGCGCCGCAATCCGCCAGACGAGATGCATCAACAAGCTCGACCCGCCCCACGGGTCTCCTCCCCCGCTTCTGCGCCCCAGACGAATCCCACAAGAACGAACAACCCGAGAGAAGGAATGTTTGGCACACGGGAAAGAGCTGGTTCGGGAGCGTCTGGTCGCGATTCTGCTGCAGCGTCACCCACCATCGAGACGCCGCCAGGTGCCGTTTCGGCAGATGCCGTCAAAAAGTTGGATCAGATAATTCAGGTGTGTACGAAACAGAGGTCGAAAGGTGCCACAGCGAGGCTCGGCTGCTAACGTGAGCGCAGAACTTTCACACCAAGGCTGCATCACTAATATTGCAATCGCGGTTGAACCTTAAGCCCATATATGCAGCTCGTGGCTCTGGGAACAAGAAACTGAACAAATGGGTAAGTGCTGGCTCGTCTGCGATATCTGGTTTCGCTCGCACAGCTAGGTACTGACGCCTGTGCCCCCTTAGTTTCAAATCGAGACGGAAGAATTCGACGACTTCAAAGAGGAGCTTCGCATTTGGCGTAACTGCGGTAGCTACGAGAATAAGCCCATGCCCCTCATTATCGAAACCTATCTCGATACATCACGTTTAACCCCTAGCCAGAGCCTGGTTATTGTGGACGAAAATGGTAAGAGATGGGACGTGATGGAAGCTCTCAATTCATCTGATTCGAGCGATGACGGCCGCTCTCTGCCCACAAAGAGGAATACGGAGGTGATACTAGAAAGATGGCGCATCGAGCTCAAGACATTTCCCACAACCGACCCGGACGATTTTGGCCCAATACTGCCAACCATCTACAAAAAGAGCATCGTCTTCTTTCGGTCTCTCTTCGTTGCAACTAGGATTCTTCCTGCTTGGAAGTTCTCTCAAGCATCTGCAACAAAAGGTGTCCATCCTTCATTGGAACCCCGTTGTCGTGTCCGAACCGGCGAATTAGACACCGGCGGCATCGACCGGCTTAGGCACCCGTTGTACGATGGCCGCCCGGATGTCGTTACCGACTACGTATTTGGCGATTTGGAGGTACCCGTTGGTCGATTCTATGCATCTGTCACTTACAGGAATGAGTGTAACTTCAGGGTGGACGATTCAGAAGCGCTGTTGAGCTCGCGCTTCATGGGCGTTGACGAGAACTTCTTCAAGCCATCACTGCCTCAGCGGACATCAAGCACCCGACGAAACGACCCCGAGGTGGGTTCTCTTCCGTCTCATAGAAGGAGCCGGACCCTTGCAGATATGCACCAGACCTACGGCAGTCTCTCAACCTTTCACGGCGAGGGAGCTTTGGGCACCAGTCCTATATCAGCTCTCAAGGCTGTGAAGCCCCCCGGATCTGATACGAGCTCTCCGCCTGGATCTGCTCCCACGGGCAACGAGCTGAACCCTCCAAACTCGTTACCCGTTACTGGTCTCGCAACAAGGCCTTCTATGAAAGGTTTCAGTAGCAGTGGCCGACGTCCGTCCGTCTCATTCCAGCCATTCAAAGCTGGGTCGCTGTCTGGATCTCCCGTCCCTCGAACACTGGATTCCGAATCTCCCGCATCTCCCATCTCACGCGCGGCGGCACTCAATGCCCTCACACAACCTCGCAATCGGACATCACTGACAGCAGGAATGCCTGCCACCCTCCGAGGTGGCCCTCCACCGGCCGAAACAGCCGTAGTGGGCTCGCCTCGGCCATCTTCGACAAGTCGGTATAGCAGCAGCTTTACTCATCGCAAAGGACGCTTATCATTTGGCGGCGCTAGCAAAGCCGGAGATGATGAGCAAGGCAGCAGCGGTCGACAAAGCTTATCCTCGTCAGTGGCACAGCCAGGTTCCGGTCTCCTAGCAGAGGCTGGTGCAGGCGGCAGCTCTGGATCGCTTCAAACGGATGACGATCAGATCTCGGAATTTTTGAAGGCGCTGGACAGCAAAAAGACGCTCAAGAGCTTTGAATCAGGCAAGAACGGCGAAGGCGCGACGAATCGAACAGTCGCCCAGCTTTCGAAATTCCACCTCATGAAGGAGTCGAACCAGGCGCTTACGGACTCGATGACTTCGTCAATACAAATGCAGCGCTCCTCGAGCTCATCCAGTCGACAGCTGTCCAATGTGCCAAGCATGGCTGCGCCAGCATCGGTATCCGTTTCCTCCTCGCCTGGAAAGCCTCTCTCTCCTCACACCCCTCATACGCCTGCTGTACCTTCACGATTGAGCGAGAACTCAATCATCAACTACAACACAAGCCAGCCTCGGAGCGACCGTACCAATCCCAGTGCGGAGAACACGCAGATGCCTAGAGAGGACACCATCACCCAGGATGGGACCACTGCCATTGACATACCCATCTCTCCCAGAATCGGGACTCACCCTAGACGGTCTAGCTCAGTGGCACAGCAAAACCGCGCAATGGCCGACGATGAGGACGGGGACTTGGCTTTCGCCGCCAATCGCAGCATCAGCTTGGGCGCAGAGGACCGCGAGCCGCCCACGCTCAGCATGTTGTTGGGAAGGCAGACAGAAGCCGAGTCTGCATCTCGCCGAGCAGGGGCTTCGCTGCAGCCGACACCAGATATCCCATCATCAGGATCGGCAGAGATGATGAGGCAGGGTTCATCGGAAGGATCCAAACCTCCAGGTGGATTGATGGCCGTCGCGCCATCCAGTTCGCCATTTGGCAGGCGCCGGTACGCTGGCATGCCATCCACGGGTGGACGAGGCCAGACGCCTCCTCAGTCCTCCAGAGGCAGCTTTACGGGATCCATTGGACGGTACGGACGCGGCGAGAACGACTTGATGGACGAGGAGCCACTCCTTTTCGATATGTCAGAAATGGACGCACAGTCGCGGAGAAGTCTGGAGGAGGGACGGGGTGGTGGTAACATTGGATCTGGATCCGGCAGTCGAGCTGACTTTGAACCTCGCGGCATCAGTCGGAGGGGGTGGTGAGCATGGTGCTCGCAGTGATGACGAAGGACGGCTTTCACAAGCATATTTGCTGAAGATGATCAGGAATCGCATCGGGCCCATCTCTTTTACTGGGTCTACTTGGGCTGGATGACACGAGCGCTTTTTTCTTCTTCTTTTTTTCCCCATATGCCTACGAGGCTCAGGAGGACCTGAGGGCAGGTCCGGCAGAAAGGTGTCATCGAAACGGTCCTTTTTCTACTCCCCTCTTCTCCCATTTTCTAAATATATATCAATGGGTATGAGAGAGGGATTCATGGCGTTGGATGGAATCGGAATGGTCAAGACAATTCCCCGTGCCGGCAGAGACGGCGGGGAGCACCTTGGGGAACCAAGGACATAGTACAGATACGATAGAGAATGCACAAAGACTGGCATGCATACCTACACATAATCCTGAGTCCTGAGTATCAGGTATCCCCGTTGCATGAGGGTTGAGCTTGGAAAACGAAGAAGCATAAAGGAAGATCCAGGGGTGTCAGAGGTCTGGATGTGGCTTGACGTCGTTACTGGTCCCGTTGGTTGGCAAGTTAGTTCCGGGTTGCGTTCCCCGCAGGCCGTGATGATGTGGCGCACGCAATACTGACGTTGTGTTGTAAAATGGGGATTATTGCTTAATTTCTCATCCTGTTTTTCTTCTTTCTTGCTCACTTCTGGCACCTTTATGCCTCTTGTGACGGAAGAATGCGATCACCGAATGGCATCGTGATCTGTCTCAAGGTTTCGTGGTAAGAAATGGGAAGTAAGGGAAGCGACTGTGAGTGAATACCTACTACCATCTAACATGGGTACATAGAAGAAGAAGAGATTTGTAGCTATTTTAGGCAGCGGGTTGAAGATGCTTCATTGTAGACTAAAAAAGAGGCTAAAGTAAAATAAACGCAAGAACCCGTGGTGGAGCAAAGAGAGGACGATGACCCGACTCGGGACCAAGAAGGCAGGTCGCAGAACTTTTTGGCTCAAAGACGGAATCAGGATCCGTAGAGTTAATTTGAATCGAAGAAGCCATCGTCGCCAATTGGGCAGCGAAAAGCGAAAAAGAAGAGCGAAGCCTGCAAGGCAACAAAAGAACCAGAGGCCCACGCGGTTGGTTACGCATGCTTTTGGCTGTCTCTCCTCCACACGTGTGGCGGTGCAACAATATTACAGTGTAAATGGGGACTGTTTGCTGCTAGACCGCGGGTCACTGTGTGTGGCAGAGGAGCAAGTCCGCGTAAGTCGTGGGCGAAACGAGCTCAGCCCCCCCTGTTGGATTTCCCTTGGTTAATTAAGTCGTGATGACGACGGGGGTCGTCTCTCTTTCGGGCTCTCCAAGGCGTACTTTGGTGGTAGTACCCCTGCACCGCAACATAACTTGCCTTTCCTTACACCGAGGCATGTCACTATCTTACTGTATTTGCATGCAATAGGTACATGGAGCATCATCCCCCTCCCCCCGCACGTTAAGAAAACTGAAGAAGAGAAGCTCAGTGCTCACACCTGGCGGGGGCTCGTGGTGGACGGGACTAGTGGTCCGGACCCTGTGACAGCCCATGGATGGCGGCATGGCCACCTCCCAGCCCAGGTGCCCAGGCGTGCCATGTTTCCCTGGGACCTTCTCCCCAAAGGTACCCGACCTCACCTTGCCTGCCTGAATACCTTGCCTTGCCATGGAGTTCCATAGCGACGGATGCAAGCTGCCGACACCTATTACCTTATTACTTGCCTTACATTAGCTGCTTACTTTACTTTACACCAGAGCTGCAGAGGTAAAGGACGACGACTGCAAGATTCTGCCGGGTGTTGCCTCAGCACTTACGCACTTACGTACCCGTCACTGATTACCTCAACCTTGGCGACCTTATCCATCACCTTCCTTTCCCTCGGGTTCACGCTTCGCCTCAGCACACACACACACACATCCGCGCGACATACCCACCTCACCGAGACGACCCTCCCCAAACACCTACCCAACGACCTTCAACTCCGCCAACCCAGGCTCCAAGAAAGTCCAACCTACACGACCCGGCCAACATTCGAGCGCCTTTCACTCCGCCGTACACGAATACTCTCATACCACTCAACATTGCAATCCATCGCATTGCATTCGCGCAGCCCAACGACAACTGGAACCTCGTCTGACGCAGTCCACCGCTCTGCCCGCTCCAGGCATCTTCTTGCCACAAGCGCAACCCCCCAATATATTGAAATCACTCGAAACAAGACAGCTTCTTGATCCCGCCCGTCACTACACAGCATCCGCAGCGGCTCACAGCTTCTAACCAACATGTTTCGAGCTGCCGCAGCTGGTCCCTTTGACGAGGGCGTCGGTACGTGTGCAACCTTTGGAAATCAAACGAGTATCGCTCGCCCAACGTCGCTAACCTATCCATCTTGCGTCATCTAGCCAAGGCCACCGACGAGAACCTGACATCAGAAGACTGGGGAGCTATTATCGAGGTCTGCGACCGCGTAGGCAGCGATGCAAATGGCCCCAAAGAGGTCGTACAGGCAATGATCAAGCGTCTCGCCCACCGCAATGCCAATGTCCAACTCTACACCCTCGAGGTGAGTTGACCTTCTCCTCCCCGGCCCATAGCTGCCGCACCCTTCCTGGTATATTGAATTTATGGCTGACCTTACCCCTCTTCCTGCGCAATAGCTTGCGAATGCTCTCAGCCAGAACTGTGGCAAGAATATGCACCGCGAGCTCTCAAGCCGAGCCTTCACTGACGCCATGTTGAAACTCGCAAACGACCGTAATACCCACACCCAGGTCAAGGCCAAGATCCTCGAGCGCATGAAGGAGTGGTCCGACATGTTTAGCAAGGACCCCGATCTCGGCATCATGTATGACGCATACTTCCGCCTCAAGCAGAACAACCCGACCTTGCAGGCTCCCTCGGCGCCCCAGAAGACCGGCCTGACCGACCTCGATCGCCAGAAGGAGGACGACGAGCTTCAGATGGCCTTGAAGTTGTCGCTGCAAGAGGAGGAAAAGAAGAAGGCGCCTGCCGAGTCGAGCGTCGGTCCGTCCTCCTCTGCCGCCGCCGCTGGATCCTCGACACAGGCCGCGGCACAGCCCCAAGTTCACTCTACACCCGTACCTGCTGGCACGACGGCTGCCACGGTGTCAAGGGTGCGAGCATTATACGATTTCGTTCCTTCCGAGCCGGGTGAACTCGAGTTTAAGAAGGGCGATGTTATTGCAGTCCTCGAGTCGGTTTACAAGGATTGGTGGCGGGGCTCGCTCAAGGGGAAGACGGGAATCTTCCCCCTCAACTACGTCGAGAAGCTCACAGATCCGACTCCCGATGAGCTGGCGCGTGAGGCGCAGATGGAGGCCGAGGTGTTTGCAGAGATCAAGAATGTCGAGAAGCTGCTCACGCTTTTGAGCACGTCCAACACGGCGCCGAGAGAAGAGGATAACGAGGAGATATCGGTAAGTCTTACGGGCGTCATCTCAACCTGACCCGGTACTAACAAGTCGTCGCACAGAAGCTCTACCACCAAACGCTGGCCATCAGGCCGAAGCTGATCAGGCTTATTGAGAAGTACTCCCAGAAGAAGGGTCAGAGATGCCCCACTCACTTGTCTATGCTGCTTATACTGACCAAGATGTGTAGATGACTTTACACAGCTGAATGAGAAGTTCATCAAGGCTCGCCGCGACTACGAGTCTCTCTTGGAGTCGTCCATGTCGCATCCTCCTCAGCCTAGTTACCACCAGTATGCCATGAGACCCGGTCCCGGCGGGTACCCAAGCGGACCAGGGGCGGGCTATCCTCCCCAGGGTCCTCCCCAGCAACAGCAGCAGCAGGAGCAGAGATACTATACTCCAGCACCCCAAGGTGAACTACCTTGATTGCCTTCTTCCAAGCGCACCAAGTTTAACTAGTTTGTACATAGAACAACCTCAATACCCTCAGTCTACGCCCTCGCCGAACTTCCAGCGTCCGGCACAGTCAACGCCTGCTCCTTTCTACGTAGCCGGTGCAGAGGTCCCTTCAGCACCGCCTCACCATCAGCCGCAACAGTATCCCCCGCGTGACCAGCGTATTCCATCCACGGGTAAGGCACAGGTGCCGCCGATCAACACCTCGTCGCCACCGCCAGCCAACACGTATTCCGCATACTCTGTGCCTCCTAACCAAGGAAGGCCACAGAGCACCTACGGCCCCCAGGAGCTGGCAACCTCTGTCTACGACTCGCCCATTGCTACCCACAACCCGAGCTCTGCTGCAACATACACATCCTCAGTATATTCCCAAGACGACTACAATAACAGTAGCCCCGTCGTAGGTAACTCGACCGTTCCAGCACCTTCGTCATTCCAACCATCGGCACCACCAGCCGGAGAGCCCTCACAACCGCCTCAACAACCGCCGCAACAGCACCACCAGCCACAGTACCAGAGCTATCAACCGCCAGGAGCTCAGAGGCAGGATAACTACGTCAGTGCCCCTACTCAGGCACCACCGCCCGTACCGACTGGAGCGGCTCCGCCTATTGCTGGTGGCGGCCGATCTGAAGTGATGACACCGCCGCCCCTACAGCCTGGTGGCGCGGCCTACGATGCTAGAAACAGTCTTCCGAGCCAGGGACCATCACAGCCGCAGTACAGAGCGTATGTTCCGCCCGGCGGTGGTGCCGATGGGCCGAGCGCACCGCCCGCTGCGGACTACTATCGACAGAGTGGCGTGTACTAGACGCGAAGACGGGGCAGTAGCGGCCTTGACATCAAGGGGATGAGGTAGTTAGTTTGGTCGTGGGCCATTCTGTTGGGCGGAGTACATTCGATATTTTTAATGACTTTTATTCACTGTGTCTGGGAGGGTATCTTGGGCATTATCGGCCGTCCTCTCGGGGCCATGCAAAGTTGTGTAGTAGTCAATCGTATTGGTTGAAATTCAGGAAGACGAAGGCCAGCTTTTTGGGGAGTTGCGAAGCCCATGCAGAGAGGGGCATCATACCCGGCATGGCGGGCAGTTTGTCGATTGTGAGGAGGGAGACTTACCGTAGTCAAGGTAGAAAGCAAGGGAATGAATGGGGATGGGGAGGGTAAATAATACTCGAAATCTGTACACTATCTCGCCTCGTCATTGGTGTATTCCAGGTTCCTATTATAAGCTCGCTATTGCGAGCAATGTGTTGCAAAGTGAAGGACAGGCAGGAAAGGGAGTTCATTTGAACACTATTGACCCCCAAGTATCACCTTTCCATATCCAGCACTGACCTGATGTGATCTTGCAGCCATTACTGGGAGACTCTTCTTCTAGGTGACAAGTTATTCCTTGCGCCTCTTGGTGATGGCCCATCGGTAGGCAGTAAGTAGTCTTACCGATGAAATTGGACTACGGAGTAGCTCTTCTGATAGTGCTTGATCCAAACGTATGTTCCATGTTTCAGTGTTTATTTTCCATTGTCGTATCGTGAGAATGAAGAAAGAATCCTGTCAACTCCAATGGTCCTGGGCTCTAGGGATGAGAGCCGCCATCTACACATGTTACACAACTCCTAAAAACACATACATACACACTGCCTCCCTCCCTCACGATAAGCCAACGTTTTCCGCCCTACTCCTCGGTACGCCCAAGTCTGCACAGCAAAAGCAAATATCCAGCTTTTTTTTCTTTCACCACCGCCTCCCAAACATCTCATGCTCAGGCTTCTTCGCCTTCTTCTTCCCCGCCGCCACCAAGCCGCCAGATTCAGGCGACCCCTGCCTACTCGTTCTCGCCGATGCGGGTTGGGATACGGAGGACGGGTCGGGGAATGCATCACCGAGGCTGGGCGGCGCAGCAGAGTCGTTGCGCCGGAACAGGTCCATAATCTCCTTGAACCCGAGCTTGAAGGCGTCCTTCTTCATGCCGCCCTCGATGGCCGTCTCGGCGAGGAGACGCTTCTTGTCTTGCAGCGCGAGGATGCGCTCCTCGACCGTGTTCTCCACGGTGAGCTTGTAGACGATTACGTCGACGGTCTGGGTGAGGCGGTGGACTCTGTCGATGGCTTGTTCCTCGACGAACTAGAAAATGGAATCAGTATGGCGGTCAAATCTTGAAAGGGGGTTAAGAACACGGAGGCGAAACTTACGGGATTCCAGAAAGGCTCTAGGATGATGACACGAGTCGCCGCAGTCAAGTTGAGACCCAAGCTACCGCACTTCAAACTGCAGAGCAGAATGCGCGTGTTCTTGTCGTTGCGGAGACGGTCCAGACTAGCCTCGCGCTCGTCGTTCTTCATGCTGCCGTCGTACCGGGTGAACTTGAGCCCGTCCTTGCGGAAAAAGGGCTCGACGAGGTCCATCATGGACGTGAATTGCGAAAAGACGATGAACTTGTGCTTGCGGGCCTCCTTGTGGAGGATCTGCATCATCTCGCGAATCTTGGCCGAGGCCAGGACCTTGGATGCCTTGCCCGCAGGGTCGTAGTCGTTGTCCTTGTCGGAATGGAGCTCCGATTCGTCTACGCCCGTGTCTTCTTCCGAATCAGTCTCCGAGTCCGAAACGCGCGACTGCGAGGATCTGAGTTTCTCCTCCTTGACTTGCGATGCTATCGCTCCTATTGAGAGGAGGCTGTCGTCGGAGACGTCAATCTGGTCGCTATCCCGACCGTGCTTTCCTTTGTCATCCTTGACGACAAAACTGTCGAGCTCGCTGTCGTCGTCGTCGTCGTCGTCGGAATCGTGCTTGGAGTCATCCTTGCCAATCCACTCGCCACCTCCCTCGGCATTCTCATCTTCTTCGCTGCCGGCCTTGCCCATCCGCAGTTGACCCTGCTGGTCCTCGGGTACGAGCCAGCTACCGTCCGCCTCCTCGTCATCACTATCGACGACGACGTTCCTGTTTCTGGGTCTCCTGGCCTTGGGCTTATACGGGCTTTCCTCTTCAGCATCTCCTCCCAAAGATTTCCGCACCACCTTCTTGATGCTGCTCTTCTGCTTCTTTTGTTTCTTTGGCTTTGGCGTCTCGTGCTCGTTGAAATACGCCAGGTCTTCGCGACACTCCTGGCAGGTGTCCTTGCCGTTACTGGCTTCGTCTCGCGACAATTCACGACCGCAGACGTCACATTTTCTTGAAGCTATGCCCATTCCGCCAAACATTTCAGCAAGAGAGTCGATGTCTCCACGCGCGGTCTTTGGGGCGGCATCGGACAACGCCTCCCTGTCCTTTTCGAGCTTGCCTTCAAGCAGCTTTGGGTGGTTGCAAGCTTGTCTGAGCCGCAGAAGCAGAACCAAGGCGTTAGCATAATTGATCTTTCCCTGAAGCATTTGCTCGATGCTCTTGTCGGCTCGAGCTTCCAGTCGCGTGTAGAAACGACGCTCTGCTGGGGAGAATTTCGTGGCAACTGTGACGACTTTGCGCTCCGTGACCTTGAAGCCGGTAGTAGACTTCTCGCCTTCTTTGGTTGGCTTGCCGCCAGGGTTGAGGGCACCGTCTTCCTTGAGAATTTCCTTCGTGCGCCGCTTCATGAAGCATCGCAAAAGACTGTGAAGCCGACCAATTGCCACATGGCCCTGACCATTCTTGAGGGGCTTCTCGATCTGCTCTTTCCATTCCTTGAGGTTATCATACGGCTTGATGCGGAGGAACTTGATGAGGGACTGTAGCTCTTCCAAGTTATTCTGCATCGGGGTTCCTGAAAGGCACCATCGGTACTCTGAACGCAGGGCGTAACAGGCTTTCGTGGACTTGGCGTTACGGTTCTTGATAGTGTGTGCCTCGTCGAGCACGACTCGCCACCAGTGGAGGCCGAAGGCGCCTGCTTTGACACCCTTCTCATCTTCGGAGGAGTGGCCCCATTCGGAAACCAAAACTTGGTAGGTTGTGACCACAACGTCGTACAATGCGAGGTCCTTGAATCTCTTGGTGCGTTGAGGTCCGTGATGAACACAGACCTTGAGCCCATGCGACTTGGTCACCTTCTCTTTGATCTCCGCCTCCCACTGCCTGATCAAGGCCAGAGGTGCAACCACGAGCGTTGTCTTCTCGATGCCGTCGAAATGCTTCTTCCAGCCCTTTTCGTCCTTGTTGGGCTTTTGGTTGCCGAGTATCAGGGAAATGGTCTGAAGAGTCTTGCCAAGACCCATGTCGTCCGCCAGAATACCGCCTTTAGGTACCTTGCCCTTCTTGACCGGACCGAGCTCGCGACCTCGCATCCACTCCACGCCTTCAACCTGGTGAGGCAGGAGCTTCACTTTGAGGCCCTCCACGGTACCATCATTCGTGGCTTCGCCTTCCTCCTTTTCTTCATCTTCATCCTCTGACTCCATTCCGCCCTCCAACAAAGCCTTCAGATCGGACGATGCCTTCGCGGGGTCTGTCCAGAACTCGTTTTCTCCAAAGATTGTGGTGGGTCTAAAGGTCGAGGGGTTGGCGTCAGGGCCTATGGAGCTGTATAATGTGGGCGGCTCAGGTTTCCTGTCTTGGTAGAGAGGAACTGATGGAATAGCCATCTGCTGAGGTCGGTGATGCTCCGGGCGCGACCTCCTCTCATTGAAAATGCCTGTTGCCTTCTGCTTAAGAGAGGACAGAATCTTGGTAGGATGGCCAAAAACAGGCTGTGAGGACGAAGAGTGGAAAGGATCGTGACGCTTGACATCCGAGAAGAATGACTCCAACGCATCGGAGTGCAGTAAGGAGTGCTCGTGTTGGGAGCTTGGTTCGCTCTCCTTCGGAACTGGTCGAGGTGGCGGCTTGAAGTCGTTGCGGGATATTTCGACCAGGTCAGGACTCGTTTGGCGGTAGGCTGGCGGGTTGCGCCTCGCAGACGAATTTGGGATCGCTGCAGGAGCTTTCGACTTTGGCGTTGTTGACAAACGCATGGATCCGACTTGGGCGGCAAGATCATCGGGGTCGAACGAATTCGAGTCCGAACTTTGAGCTCGTGAAAGCAAATGGGAGGCACCGCGGGATTCCTTGCTCGAGCTGCCCATCTTGGGAAGCTCATGGCTGGTTGATGATTGCGAATCCTCGTTAGGATTGACCGGGCGCAAAGGGCCTCTGGCCGGGTTCCTTTGGTTGACCATGAGTGTATAGCGCAGCCGTGGGCTGTCTTCGAGATTATTGCCGGAATGCAGTATTTGTTCGCAATAAGACGGAGAGAGATCGGAGGGTCTCTCAGAAGAAATCGTGTTTCTGGGCTGGAAGGAGAAGTCGGCGCCTGGTTTTCTGTAGTTTCAACGTGGAGGTGTCAGTCGGGTTGGACTCTTGGAGGGGTAATTCCAGAGGGAAAAACAGAAAAGAAGGGGGAGAAAAACAAGCGAATGTGGGCTGTACCGACTTCATGGAAGTTTCATGAGGGAGATCGATAAAGCGCCAGGACTCTGGGTAAACTCGGTGAGGATCGTCCTTTTTGTAGTAGAGTGGCTGATCGCGTCCAGGAAGCTCGAAATATGTAAATAGATACGATTGTTGGGGGAAATGCCTAATTGTGAATGGGATGTGAAAGCCGTTGGTACCACATACTTAGCAATGACATAACTCTCCCCAGCAACGGGCAGGCAACGAGCGCGACGCCACAACGTAAGTGTGGGGCAGCTGCTAGGGGTCTCGTGCGACAGTGCACTCCCACTACCTGGTGGACAGTGCAGAACTCTAACCCGCACTCCAAGTCAATTTTTACTTCACCGAGTCTCACCGAGTCGGGTAGTCGACACAGTGGTTACAGGCTATACCCTAGAAGGCCAACAAACAAATGTATTTCTTCGTCTAATTCAGAGGTGTTTCTAATGTCTAGATGGGGTATCAGTGTATGGATCAAAACCAACACGCTTTTTCGTCTCCGTTCGAGCCCTCAAACGCTCTTCTCCGGTAAGTCCTGTCGTCGATGATTCCTCCAAGAAGAAGTTCAGAATATGGTCGTGCATCGTGAGATGCGGCGCCTGCTGGAATTCTTGCAAACTCGTCAGTCGAATCAGCATCTCCATGAGAGACAGAGAAGTGACGACAGCATAAAATGGAGACCTCGCCGCGAAGGAATCCGAATTGCCCAGCGAACGCTTTGCCAACTGTTGTGAGAAGGGCTGTGTCGGCGCAGGTGATCCCACGCTTCTATTGAATGGGGATGACTGCACAGATAGATTCTGGATCTGTGCCATGAGTCTCGAGTCCAGCGAGGTGCGATTTCGTAGGGCTGGTCTTGGAGACCCTCTTGCTGAAGTAGGCGTTGCCAACCTTGGCAAGCTAGGTAGCTCCTCAACAACATCTTCGTCTTCGGTATCGCTGCCATCCGATTCATCCTCTTCGAAAACCTCCAGGGCCATCCATTCTGGATCCAAGTGGCTTGGGAAGCTTCTGCGAGGGTGAGGAACGGGAGGCTCAGGCTGTTCTTGAGGCGTAATCAGCGCTGCACTCTCTTCCCGAAGCTGTCTATCGATATCATCCTGCTCATCTATGTCCTCTGATCCGCTACCAGCCTTAAAGGGTGTCGGTGAGCCTGGTTCATTCTGGAAAGACATCATTTCCTCTTGAGTCTTGAGAGGTGGCTTGGCAAGGACGTCCCGTTTCAGCAATAAGACAGGATTATTGTCGCCATCGTCACTGCCAATGTTGAGAATTCGACCAGTATCGGCGTAGAAGATCCTGGATATTTGATAGATCGGTATAGACTCGCGAATTCCAGCCTGCAAGATGTCGTCATACGGAGCAGAGTCTGTGTCTAGGTCGTCATGAGCTCGCCCGTCATCTAGGTCCTCAATGATTTCCAAGTGGTAGGCATACTCGTTGCGCTGGCCGATGCCGAAAGGACTTGAACCATAGAACCTTGATTCGTCAAAGTTTGGATCTTTGGGCGTTTCCGGGCGAAAGCCTTCTTCAGAGTCGAAAACATGGTCCATAGGTGTCCGACATAGTCGCACCCTGGCTTTGTGCATGACCTCTTGCCACAACGGTTTGCGGTCTCCCTCCCCAATACCGTAAGGTTGCGCGTCTTCGCTGACAGAGCCTTTTCGATGTGTTTGCGGGTTTCCAGCATGCTTGCTTCCCTCGGCAGCCTTTGAGGAGTGACCGAGGAACAGCATATAAATTGACAGTGTGAAGATGGGTCCGATTTGCACCGGGCGAGTAGGATCGACGGCGAATTGACTATCGCCATAGGTAAGAAAGGTTCCTGCTTGCGAGAACCTCGAAGGCGATATGTGAGGGGACATGGCAGAATTGAGACTCTCTCCTGATGTTGATATGGCCATATGCAAGAGGGGGATATCATTATCCAGTTGGGCCAAGAGATCTTTCATGTCTTTGATGATTGCTTTCAGTTCTTCGAATTGCCTCTCAGAGTCGACACTTTGTCGTGAAGACCCCCGTGATGCTTCTCCAGCTTGAGCTGCTTGTTCTACCCGACGACCTAGGGCTACTATGTCTCGACGAAGACTCTTAGCCAGGGGAAGGGCTGATTCCAAGAAGGCGTTGCCTCTGCCTGATCTGAGAGGTTGTCAGTAAACAAGTCCTGCTTCTCGTCGAGGTAGTCGTTATTGACGTACTTGAACTCTATCAGATCTATTGCAGGAGAGACGATCTGTCAGCCAAGTCAGCATATATGAAGCTATGTTCGAAGAGGTGATTCCTGCCTTGATTTTGCTGTCCAGTCTCTTCTGGAGCTTCTTGATATCTGAGCGAACATTTCGATCGTCGACAGTTTTCATAAGGCGAGAACACTGGGAGAAGGCATAGGTCGAGGTCAAGGCAATGCCTGACCTGATGGCCATGTTCATTGCCTGGGCTCCCAGCTTCGCAAGTAAGGCGTCCATGACTGTTCAGGTCCCATGCTGCTATGGAGAAGGACAGATGTTGAGTTAAGTCTCCAGCCAGCAAGATGAGTTGGTTTGTAGAGTCCAATATGAAGGTGAGAACAAAGAAAAGAACCCCTGCAGGTGGTGATGAATGAATCGACCGGGATACCTGAGACAGATTGCCATAGGTGAATCTCAAAAGTAAAGGGATCGCATCTCAAAGCCTTAGCAGTCCATGGAAGCCCTGCAAGGACGGTAAGGTAGCTACACCCACTGACCGCTGTACCTTGCCCGCCTGGGCTGCATTGGGTAGAGGGGATCCATAACACAGTGCGAAGGCCATCACCAGCCCCGCGCATCTCACGTGCCCAGGGGAGGGGCAGAACTGATTTTAGCGGCGCAAATTACCCCTCATTGGCTACGTACCTCTGAGCAGCTGCCGTATGAGGACAGTGCGGTGTTGAGCCAAAGTCGAGGCAGGAACCCCGCCAAGTGGTGGGGCCAGCACTTCAAAACGTTCGTCAGGTCTCTACGCTAGCAGACACAGAGCCGCTGCGTTATATCATTGGAAAAATTGAGAGGGCCGGGAAAAGCTTCTAGAAATCTGACCTGAATTCTACCAGAGGCAGAACAGGAATATTTTTCTTGGAATTTCAAGTCAGGAGGCAGTCATCAACCCACAAAGTGAGTCATTCCAGCCCAACTCCAAGTCACATTCTCTGCCCATAGATTACATTGTTGCTCATCTTTCGCCTCCCCCATTGTGTCACTCCTGTTACTGGTCGGCTGGCGCCACAGAGGTTGCCGTTCACGTCTGAGGTGCAGGAAAAATAAACCCTCCAGCCCCTCTTTAAATCTTTCTCGGGGCGCATCTCGTTAACAACCCATCCCACTTCTAGCTCACCTCTGACCGCATTCTTCCCCCCTCCCCCCGATTCCGCTTCCCGATCGTGCAAACGACACGACACCTCACCTTCTCGACAATCCATTCATCTGCTGCCCTGCTGCAGTCCATCACAATGTCGAACCTCAACTCGTGGGAAGACGACCCATCCGCCCAGGACGACAACCTGTCGCGCCAGGCCCAGCAGCAGCTCAACCTCAACCAGCAGAACCCTCAAGCCGGTGCCTTCCGTCCAGGCGGCTCTTCCTTCACCCCTGGAGCCTCCTCTTTCACCCCCGGAGCCCAGGCTTTCCAGCCTAACCAGCAATACGGCGGCTACGCTCAGCAGTACCAGCAATACTATGGCCAAGGCTACGGTGGTCCCGGCGCTGCTGGTGGTGCAGGTGGCTTCCCCCAGTATGGCGGCCAGCAAGGATACAACCAATATGGTCAGGGCAACTATGGCGGCGGTTACCCCCAGCAGGGCTACCAGCAGCAGCAGCAGCAAGCCTACGGTATGTTTGAGACATCGACAAGTCATCTTGCCTCCCATGACAGTTCCCTAACATAAACAACTTCCAGGTCAAGGCTACCCCCAATATGGCCAGCAACAGCAACAGCAGCCCCAGGCTGCGGCACCTACCATCGCTAAGCGTCCGACTGACGCCCCGGCCTCTGGCTCCAACACGCCTGCTCCCGCAGCTGCGCCCCAGCCCGAAGTGAAGAGTGAAGGAGGTGCCAAGGTCTTGAGCATCGGCGGTGACGCACCCAAGCCCAAGGCCAAGGTTCTCTCCATCGGCGGCACTGTCCCCCCAAGGAGGAGAAGAAGAAGGAGGAGGCTCCCAAGGAGGCCTCATCTGCGGCCGCAGTCGAGGCCGGAGCCAAGGCAACCGCTTCCAAGGCGATCGAGAAGACGGGTGCTTCCACCACTAAGTCTGGCAAGACCTCTCCTGCTCCTTCCTCAGGCCGTTCCAGCCCCTCTGGACCGGAGAAGAAGGTCGTGAGAGATGTCGACGCCGTCCAGAAGGATCAGACGGCCGATGTCGACGAGGCGACTCTGAAGGAGATTTACGGAAAGGAGCACGTCAACATCATCTTCATCGGTCACGTCGATGCTGGAAAGTCTACCTTGGGTGGCTCTATCCTCTACAACACTGGTATGGTTGATGAGCGGACAATGGAGAAGTACAAGAAGGAGGCCAGGGATATCGGCAACCCGTCTTGGTACCTTTCATGGGTCATGGATCTGAACAAGGAGGAGCGATCACAGGGCAAGACCATTGAGGTCGGAAGAGGTTACTTCGAGACGGACGTACGACGATACAGCATCCTCGACGCCCCCGGCCACAAGACGTACGTCCCCAACATGATTGGCGGTGCCTCGCAGGCGGATGTCGGTATTCTGGTCATCTCAGCCCGTAGAGGAGAGTACGAGACCGGTTTCGAGCGTGGCGGCCAGACCCGTGAGCACGCTATGCTTGCCAAGACCCAGGGCGTCAACAAGTTGATCGTTGCTATCAACAAGATGGACGATGCCACCGTTGAGTGGTCCCACGAGCGTTACCAGGAGTGCACGACCAAGCTGTCTCAGTTCTTGAAGGGTACCGGCTACAACCTGAAGACGGACGTCCATTTCATTCCCGTCGCCGCCCAGCAATCCATCAACATCAAGGAGAGAATCGCCAAAGGCATCGCTGACTGGTACGACGGTCCTTCATTGCTCGAGTACCTCGACGGCATGAAGGCTCTAGAGCGCAAGGTCAACGCCCCCTTCATGATGGCCGTTGCCGGCAAGTACCGTGATCTTGGAACCATGATTGAGGGCAAGATCGAGGCTGGTGTCATCAAGAAGGGCATGTCGCTCGTCATGATGCCCAACAAGCAGAACATCGATGTGTCTGCTGTGTACGGCGAGACCGAGGAGGAAGTGCAGGTTGCGCAGTGCGGTGACCAGGTCCGCATCCGCCTCAGGGGCATTGAGGAAGAAGACATCATGCCAGGATTCGTCCTGTGCTCGCCCAAGCGCTTGGTGCACAACGTCCAGACGTTCGAGGCTCAGATCCGCATTCTGGAGCTCAAGAGCATTTTGTCGGCAGGCTTCAACTGTGTGCTGCACGTCCACGCCGCCATTGAAGAGGTGACTTTCGCCGCGCTGCTGCACAAGCTCCAAAAGGGCACCGGCCGCAAGAGCAAGCTGCCTCCTTCGCACGCGAAGAAGGGCGACAGCATCATCGCTCGTCTGCAAGTCATTGGCGGTGCCGGATCCGTGTGCATTGAGAAGTTCGAGGACTACCCGCAGATGGGTCGCTTCACCCTCAGAGACCAGGTTCGTTGCGCCTCGATTCCAAGATTTTTTTTGGCTTACCTGATAACTCACACATGGGGAATAGGGACAAACCATTGCCATTGGCAAGATTACGAAGCTGATTACGGATGAGACATCCTAAGTTGATACCAGATGACACGAAACCCACGGCTGACTTCAGGCGGAGGAAGGGAGCTGAGCGCTTCCTTGGATATGGCAGGCGTAAGGAACGTTCGCAGGAACATGATGAACTTGTTCCTGGGCCAAGACCAATATGCATAGAGAGCAGCGCGGAAATGTGGTAAAAGGAGAATAACGCGACGTCATGGGAAAAGGGGGCGGCCAATGCCGTTGACACGAACCGGGCCGCGAAAGGCTCGGGCATGATAGACCCCGTACGTGGCATTCTCGGAACAAAGAGGATTAGGGAGGGTAAGGGACGGGGGGAGAACGGTTCTAAAACTCAAAATCAATCTCAAACCTTGTCAAACAAGCGCATGATGATGGCTTCACGTTTTGACCCTGTGTGTGTGATGTGTACGGAAGGGGCGACTGGCTATGTGCCGCTACGTGAATCAGGATTGACGGAATCCGAGGTGACTGCATGGAACTCTTTGGACTTCCGATAGATTCCGATGATAAGGGCAATCCTCGGGTGGCAGCGGACAAAAAGTCGAGGAGTGATAAGATATGGTCCACCCCGCCCCCGCGGTATCGGCAGCTCCGAGTTATTCTCGTGCTTGGAGGGGGGAGGATCTTTGGGCCCAGAGCCCCAAAGCCCTCCCCGACTTTAAAGGACATGGGTATTTGGGCAGAAAAAGGAATAAGTTGGCGTGTTGTGGAGCCGAGATGTGACGGACCACGGCAATCTACTGTGGAGACGTAGCGGAGCCGAAGGGGGGGAGAACCCGGCCTAACGGAGGCGTGCCAGTTCCCAAGTGACATTTGTTCGTGATGGCAGTGTTGTCACGGTGTGTAATACGTTTGTTCCGAGCCGTCAAGTCACGTTGGAGGCTGGCGGGGAGCAGCATCGTGGGGTTGGGTGGGAAGAGGGAGGGAGCCTCCTCTAGAGTGGCTAGGCCAGTCAGTCTACGAGAAAGTCTGGAGTCTGGAGTCTAGAGATGCTGCAATCTCAATTCTTCTTTTTTTGTCCTTCCTCCGCGCCCTCCTCAAATTACCCCAGAGAATCTTGAAAACGTGCAAGTTCCGAGTGACCACTTACCCCATGCTTGGGAATTTTTTTACGGGCTGGAGGAGTCTTGGCCTGGGCAAGGTGAGTCGGTGACTCCTTTTTCTGTCCGTCACATGGCTCTGGGGAACGAAGCTAGGTACGTAATAGTAACGACCCGTCAAAGCGAAGTATTGAGCATTCTCGTAAGAGACACCCCTCCCTAGGTAGGTTTAGGTTAGTTACCTGGGTTCTATGCTCAGGCACAGGAATTTACACAAAATATGACGGAACGGCCATGGGATCAATATTCAGCCCCAGTGGCTCCTGGAGTCTTTTTGCTTGACCACACCCCCTGCATTGAGTTGTGTTATAGCCCTAGAGGCAGGAGGAACAGCAACAAACTGCATACGACATGACGGTCGCACACTATTGTCTTTTTCTCCCTATCTATCGTCTCTGTTTAGTTCAAAACTCGGGTCAATATGATACAATCAAAAAACCTGGTAAAGACAGACTGACAGAGGAAAGAAAGCTGGGAATTCCGAAGCAAAGAGTCGGGAGAAGTCGGAATTCAAAGGTGAAGGTCAGCCTTTGTGCTTCCAGGACATCTTTCATTGGTCAAGGCACGTGGGGCGCGGGGTAGTCTGCGCTAACGTAGGTACCTAGGTACCTTGTAGCCGGACGGATAGACAATGGAAGGTGGAGTTTGCTCGGCTATGTGGAGGGGCAATTTACCTAGAGGGAGGGAGGGACGGGGGAGGTTTTGAAGCGGGGCCCAGGCGGCTCTCGATGTGAGGTAGCAGCAAACCTGAACGTCATCTTTGGGTCAGATTTCGGGGCTCATCCCGCTCCAAAACCAATGGGTTGAAATTGTGCATACGAGTAGGTACATGGTAGCTACATTCAGAGCTATGTTGCTAATGCTTTTTCCCCCTTGCACATATACAGATACTGTAACTCGTTCCCGTGAAAGCCCGATCGAGAGACTACGGAAGACCGGGGGGGGTAGGGGGGTGGCCATGTTATGAGAATGGAGACCAAGGCAACTTTACCGGTAGGTGTTTCCGTTGCTCGCATTGCATTGCCGCGATGCGTTGGCGGGGTCTGGCTTAACAAGACACGCGCGCGCGCGCACGCGCACACATTAGTCCCGACTTCTTGACATCGGAACTCGAAAAAGTTGTTCGGGGTTCCTAATTATTATCGTGAACGTTGTTTCAGCTTTCTTTGCATTGGAAAAGAAGAGACAGCTGACGGCACCTACGTGCCGATTTGTACAACAGCTGGAAACTTGACAGAACGCAATTCAAAACTGACGGTGAGTATCAGAAATGGCAGACGAAGAAAAAAAAAAGTGACAACGGAAGTGCCGTGGAGGGTTCAAAGACTCGGGTCTGCCTCAAAAGCGGGGACGAAACATGTAACGGGGGAGGGACGAAGGAAGCGTTAGAACCCAAGATGTATTCGTATAGACTTTCTGTGCGTGCGAGCGGTTCCTCTGTGTAGCTCTTGTCTTGCTCAGATTTTGTGGAAAGATTCGGAGCCGCAACTAGCGAAGTTCCATTGAGATTTCCCAGAAACCTCAACCCGCAGGGTAACATGCTGATAGGGCCGCGCAGCAGGCAGCGTGGCAGCTAAAAAAAGATCAGATCAAAAATGAGAAGAGAACTGGTCTAATTGTTCCCAATCCCATGTTAAACCGACCTGTCTTGAAGGCTTGGCTGCGTGTGTGCTTTTCTTGTCCCCCCTGTTGCTGGGCTCGCTGGGCTGAGCGGGAGACGGGGTGAAGGGCGGGCTGGGGCTGGAGGGTACTGTATTCGTACATAGGTACGAAGAGGGGGAGCGGGGGTTGCACACCTTACAACAGTAGTGTGTAGATGCGGCAAGGCACCGCGGTAATCGAACGCAGGTGTGAGTCGATACTGGAAGGGAGATAGATACCTTGGTACAGCATGTGCAAACTGGTCGGTCTCTGACAACGGAGACGTAAGGTAGGTAGGTATACGTACCGATTTGGGACGGACGGGGGGGGGCAGGTACGGCACGGAACGGGTGACTTGATTCGTATGCATTTTTGTTATTGTGAATCAGGAAACCCCGTTTCGTGTTCTATTGGCACATTAATTCGAGGTCGCTTTCTACCCGAGTTAGAGCGTTAATTCCAAGGCTGAGTTCGATGCCGAGTCAGAAAGCCGAAGTTATGGGGCTTCCTTGCGCAAAACTCGCAGACATAGTTTCGGCGTTGCACGCGGCTTTGTCCGGGTTGATGACCTAAGGTGCCGGCAAGGAGGCGGCTTCCCGAATGCCCCCCAGCAAAAGATTTGAATAATTATCCGGGTGAGCGGCGGGTGGGATAATTGATCTTCATAGTCCGGCCTTCCTTTTGGCGCCGAAATGTAACGGGATTCCCCTCCACGTTCTGATATCTGCTTCGCGCCCAGTCACATCAGGGGAGTATCGTATTTCCTGTTTAATGATGTAGCCTGTCACCAATGGAGTTATTCTTCGGCCTGCCGTTTCCTGAGAAGTTGACATTGAGAGGCAAGGTAGGTAGCGGCAAGCGTGATCTGTCCCGGAGGCCGCCCGAACTCTTTCGTCTGTTGACTGTTGTACCACCATGTACCTTTTTTACCAAACCGCATTACAGGAGACCAGCAGCCAATGACGAAGCGTCAACTGTAAATGGAGTCCTGCAGAAGACGGGCAGAAATGCAAGAGACGACCCCTTTGAATCTCTCTCTATGGTGAATTGGCATGCCCAACTTACGTACTTGGAAGGTGGACGGCTTCAAAGATGAGGTAAGTTAGCCAGGATTCGGGAGGACCAGGCCGACGCAACGGAGACAGACGGAGGAAGCCCGCAGATTGTGGGGATACGCCAGCAGGGGGGTTGGAGGGGTGTATTCTTTACCTTGGTTAGTGCAGAAGAAGGTACCTCCAAGGCTCCAAATTCAAACCCAAGATCAAGGTGGGATTTGTGGATTGCAGGATTGTGCATCATGATAGACGCTGTCTAAGAGAACATGGTGAAATTCGTTCCCACGTTCCTTCACTTTGCCTTGCCACAACCACTTCCACTTGTCCAGTTCCACTTCCATAGCAGCTCTTTCCTTCCCTATCCTCCCGTTCCCTCCCCCTAGCCCCCGATAACATGGCCCGAAGGGAAACGACGGACAAGGTCGGGCCCTCGTTATCTTGGGACGATGAGGCAATCCGATATGCCCTCGCACTCTTCAACTTGCTGCTGCTGCTGCATGTATCTTTTCTTCATTTTGTCTTTTTCCTTGCATCGCCCACACATCCCCTGGACATACACCCCTCCCCTCTTTCCTCCACACATCTCTCCCGTACCTAGTGTATTGTACTACACGCCTCCATTTCAACCTAGGAAGCACCATGCAAAGATACAAAGTGACAAAGGCTCGAGACAAGACTCTCTCCCGAGAGTCTTCCCCAAGTCTTCCCGATTCTATCCCTATTCCTCCTCTATCCCGAACCCGCACAGGGATCTACGCCCCTCCGCCGAACCCGAGATAATATCGTGAAGCTCGCAGCAACGGCAATTCGTCCAGTTACATCGGCCTCTTCGCCCCCGCGACTCCACACGCCGCGCCCGTTCTTATAAGTCCAAGACCCCATTCTGGCCTTTTTTCCTATCCTCGGTCCAGCTTCAGACCCAAGCCACTCAAAGCAGCCTTGTCTACACTTGTACCTACTCACCATCCATCTTTCTCTCCATCCACCCCGGGCAATTTATTCCACAAGTGTGGATACGATTCCTTTGCGATCCCTGAAAGCGGACGAGAACCACAAGCCGCCCTCCCAAGCCTTGACCCAAACCATCTTCACCCGATCTCAAAGACCATCCCGTCCAACGGACTCAATTCTTTATAACCATGTCGGATCCCGTCCAGAGAACTGCTTCTCCTTACACCGATCCCAAAGTAAAAGGCCCAAAGTCTCAGATTCTCGCAGAAGGAACCCAGGCAGATTTACGCAAGAGTACGTCCACACTACTACCTACACCTATCTCCGTTATATCGTCATCTCCCCTCTTATACACACCCATTCTCTCTCCGAGATTTCCCACAACAACACAAACTCAGTCTTGGTCTCGTTCTTAACACCACCTGTCACCTCACCCAAAAACATCATCATCATTCAATCTACCAATCGACGAATTGTAGCTAATATGGCGCCCTTAGTGATCGCTAGCAACGTTAACAAGACTCCTCTCCACCCTGGTGGTGTCGCGTAAGTTTACTGCTGATTCTTGACCCAACAAGTCCAGTACCTGGAGGCGGTTCGCAAGGAAACAGCTGGCTAACACATTACTTGCAGTCCTCACCAGGAGCACACTGAGCTTGAGGAGGAGCTCCACGAGACCGCGCACATTGACTACGACCGTGTCGCCATCATCCCCAACCCTTCAGTCCCCGCCCTCTACGAAGATGCCCTCGTCTACGAGACCGGTTCCGCCATCACATCAAGTGGTGCTCTGACTGCCTACTCTGGAAAGAAGACTGGCCGTTCGCCTTTGGACAAGCGAATTGTCGAGGAGGACAGCTCCAAGAACGACATCTGGTAAGCTTCCCTTCCCCCTCAACCAGAATAGTCGATGCGCGCAGCTATAGAACGGCTGGCGCTGACCATTGAATGCGTAACTATTTGCTAACACGATATTCGCCAGGTGGGGTCCCGTTAACAAGCCCATGTCACCCGAGGTAAGAGAAAACGCACCCCAGATCGAGTCATGGTGCTGTGGGCACGCTTCCCCTTGGTCCTTTGTTTGTGTGGCTCGTCATCGGTTGGATATTCGCATTTCCCCAAGACACACTCAGCCATGGCAACTGCGCTTGCACCCAAACAGCGCCGTCTGTCACGCGACCATTCGGAGACAGCAAAAAAGTCACTTCAGAGAACATGTCTGGGCTCTTTTCTGCTGCAGACTCGAGGGTCCTACCATGGGTCAGCAGCGAAACGAACTCAGGCACTGCCGAAGACTCTTTGCTGTCAATGAATGCGTCATGTTTCAGCTCGGCACTGGTACACCTGCGCGCAGCAAATGTCCATTTCCGCTGGTCCTTTCTGCACAAACCCGAGGAATTGATGCACGCGTATCGCATCGGTTCATGCCGGAGGGAACTCATCGAGATGTCCTACATCCAATGATTTTCCCCCGATGTTCCCCGCCAGGTTCCTCGGTGCAGTTTGCGACTGGGGAGTGTCGTCATCAAGAGTGCAACCCCTCCTCATTCCCCCTTGGGTAACTGCGCATGAGAAAAGAAGGCAGTTGCCGGTCCCGCACTTTCCAATGCAAGCCGCGCTAAACCCTTTTTCCTCGTGTATCCACTTCTGTCACCCACTCTCTCCTTCCACACCCCGCGTACCGACGGCTTCCTTGTTCCTGCTTCTCCCGGCCCTGGACCCACACCAGCGCCCGGGCCAACTTCTCTTTGAGCAATTCGCTGACATGTGAGATTTCTAGGTCTGGAAGATCAACCGCGAGCGTGCTATCGATTACCTCAACACCAGAAACCGCATCTACGTTGTCGACGGTTACGCCGGCTGGGATGAGAAGTACCGTATTCGCGTCCGTGTCATCTGCGCCCGCGCCTACCATGCTCTGTTCATGAGAAACATGCTCATCCGCCCTCCTCGTGAGGAGCTGGAGCACTTCCACCCCGACTACACCATCTACAATGCAGGCTCTTTCCCCGCCAACAGATACACCGAGGGTATGACCTCCGGCACTTCAGTCGCCATTAACTTTGCCGAGAAGGAGATGGTCATTCTCGGTACCGAGTACGCCGGTGAGATGAAGAAGGGTGTTTTCACGGTCCTCTTCTACGAGATGCCTATCAAGCACAACGTCCTCACCCTGCACTCATCTGCCAACGAGGGCAAGAACGGCGACGTCACCCTCTTCTTCGGCCTGTCCGGTACCGGCAAGACCACCCTGTCTGCCGACCCCCAGCGCGCCCTGATCGGTGACGATGAGCACTGCTGGAGTGACCGCGGCGTCTTCAACATTGAGGGCGGCTGCTACGCCAAGACGATCGGCCTGTCCGCCGAGAAGGAGCCCGATATTTTCGGTGCCATCCGCTTCGGATCCGTCCTCGAGAACGTTGTTTTCGACCCCGAGACCCGTGCTGTCGACTACGACGACTGCACCTTGACAGAAAACACCCGCTGCGCCTACCCCATCGAGTACATCCAGAACGCCAAGATTCCCTGCATGTCAGAATCTCACCCCACCAACATCATCCTTCTCACCTGCGATGCCCGCGGTGTCCTGCCCCCCATCTCCAAGCTCGACCGCGCGCAGACCATGTTCCACTTCATCTCTGGTTACACCTCCAAGATGGCCGGAACCGAAGACGGTGTCACCGAGCCCCAGGCCACCTTCTCCTCCTGCTTCGCCCAGCCCTTCCTGGCCCTGCACCCCATGCGCTACGCCAAGATGCTTGCCGACAAGATCGAGCACCACAACGCCAACGCCTGGCTCCTCAACACCGGTTGGGTCGGTGCCGGTGCCGCTCAGGGAGGCAAGCGTTGCCCCCTCAAGTACACCCGCGCCATCCTCGACGCCATCCACTCCGGCGAACTCGCCAAGGTCGAGTACGAGACCTACGACGTCTTCAACCTCCAGGTTCCCAAGACCTGCCCCGGCGTTCCCGATGAGCTCCTCAACCCCAAGGCCGCCTGGACTGCCGGCAACGACAGCTTCAACACCGAGGTCAAGAAGCTCGGTACCCTCTTCAACGAGAACTTCCAGAAGTACGCGAGCGAAGCGACCGAGGAGGTTGTCAAGGCCGGCCCCGTTGTTTAAAGCGCAAGCATGCTCTGAGTTGATTAGCGATCATATTTATGGATTTATGAAGGGCTTTTTTCTTTATTCACCTTTTTGGTATATTTATGGGATTGTTCACAGGGTGTGTCGTCGACATGGTTCCGACACGAACATAACTGTCGCGTGGATTTGGATAACCGCGGCAAGTATTGGGATTTGGGTGTCAAAACAGGAGTGATATCTGTTCTGGGCTTCATTTCATAGAATGAGAATGAGAATAAACATGAAGCAAAATAACTGTTCCAAACTTTCATGTGAACGTGTCGATCAATGTTTGCTACTAACATGTATGGTATATCGAGTTCAATGCATGTGATCAACCAATATCTGTTCTCTTCCAACCCCTGCCAGTCGTTGACTGATTCTCGGTTTACCTCTATAACGTAAATAGGCAGTGTGCGACATGTTGACTCCATCGAGTAATTCACTTGTAACCGGCTAGCCCCTTTCATGTCAACGTCCGCGCATTGTCAAGTGAACCATATCTTGCGGGTAAATGGAATCGTAGCAGTTGATCAAAATTAGACAGCAAGTCGCTCTTGTTTTCGTTATTCTTGGTTTATCTATTCTCTCCTCTCAGTCCAGATTCTTCTTCTCTTTCTTGTGGTCCCCCCAAAAATTTTACCAGTCTTTCGAAGAAATCTTCTCCGCCACAATCCATCTCACAGATCCAACCGGCGGCATATGCATCTCCTTCCCGCTCTTAAACTCCCACCCCTCGGTCCGCCCCCCGCACGACTTCATCAGCGCCTCGACTTCATCCGGCGTCCTCGTCCGCAGCGCAGAAATGTACCCGTCAAACACCAACACGAACGGGATGATCGGGATGAGGTAGGTAAAGACGAGCACCGAGAAGCTGCGCAGCCTCCAGGCGTAGAGCGGCGCGAAAATGAAGCACCCGATGCCAAGAGTCACGGGCATCAGGAAGGACAGGAGATCACGGCCCTGCAGCTCCATAATCGCGAAGCCATCCGACGTTTCGAGGGTGTTTTTCAAAATCGCTTTCGCCAGCGGGTCGTCAAAGTGGTGGAACGCCAGATTGAACAGCCGAAACACCTTCTTCCCTTTAGAGGTATACCCCTCCACCAACTCGCGCGGCGCGTTCGCGGCGTCGACGCTCTTGGGTTCGTAGCCAATGTGCTCGCTGCGCGCGGCGGCGCGGGCCCAGGACTCGGTGTTGGGGTGCAGGTCTGTGAGGACAAAGTCGACGGGGGGTTGTTTCTGGGCCGTGAGGTGGCGGTTTACGTAGCGTTCTATGGATGGGGTGGGACCGCCGGAGCCGGCGCAGAAGTCGATGAAGGTGTAGGAGGGGAGGCGGGGGCCGAGGGTTTGTTGGAGGATGCGGGCGGCGAGGCGGGCTGGGGAGGAAGTTTGGAGGAGGGGGACGCGGTAGACCCAGGCTGCGTGGAGGCCTTCTTGGACGTAGGCGCGGAGGAAGGAGGGGAACCTAGGTGAAGGAAGATTGTATTAGCTTCGGGGATCCAGAGAATTGTGGAAGGTGAGAGGAGGGATTGGGGAGGTGGGATGTTACCATGTCTGGTCGTCAATTTCGAAGAGGTGGAATCGCGGTACGAGGGGCGCCATCGTGATGACGTCGAGATGAAAGCTGTTGGTGTTGTGGTATCCAGTTCCTGTCCAGTGGCCGATTGAGCAGTTAATGTAGTTGATTGTTGCTGGCGGTAAGATTCTCGGCGTCCAAGATCACATGTGAAGCGTCCGATGCGTAGCTTCTGGCAATCGGTTGGGGGTTAAGTAAGGTAGTTGGCGGCCACGAAAGCTTTATTACACGGGGTGCTTTCTTGTTGAGACAGACAAGCTCGAAGCAAAATTGGGGTCCCCCCCTGTGGCCCTGCCGTTAGCCGGCACGGGGTGGCGGGTGCGGGAGCTATAGCATTCGCTAGTGTTGAGCTTGAAACAGGGAAAGCTCCAGCCCGGACATGGGTCCGACCCCCCCCCCCCCCCCAGCTCCGCTAGAAACGTGCCCGCCTATCTACGGATAGGTGCGCAGGCCGTGCCTTCACATCAGTTCACCAAGATGGAAGGCCTGGGACCGGCCAGATGATCCCAAGGACGAGACGACCACGGGCTGGATCGAATTGGCGCATTGTTGACATTGCCGGTCTCGCTACTTTTTCGCTGTATCATGGCGTGTAGGGTAAGTGCGTCTGAAAAAGGGACATGATGATGATGGCGGGGAGCTACCTACCCTATCCTTAAAAGACAACCAGGGCCAAGGGCTTGAAGCTTCGACAGTGGGGTAAGATGTTTAGTGTAATGTGGACTCACTCGGAAGCGGTGCAATGGAACTCTGAGTTCCCCCGTCGGGGGATGCAAGCTACCAATTGCTCTCCTCTCACTGGCCGACGCCGATTAAAGACGTTGAGGCCATTGGACAATTGTGTTGGCTTTCATCTTCGTCATCATATACTTCGTGGTACCATTTTCGTACTCGTCTCTTCTTAACGCCTTCCTTCCGCGCCACCTTCCCTCTTGAGGTTGAAAGTAAGTCGGAACCAAAATTCTCAGGTTCACGTTCCGAAAGGTCACACGTTCCGGCTGAGTATTCCATTCCGGTAACTTGAACCTCGAAAGTGTGGATGATTTCTCTGGCACATGTGGTAGTGTGAAAGTCGACCCACGTTCCCAGGGTGGAAGATCAAAGACGCTGCCTCGTGATGGGACTGATTAATGCCCCAACAGCCCTCGTAGTGGCCGCCGTCTCTTTCCTATTATACGCTATCTTTGGCCAGCCAAAGTTGAGGAGGAATGGCGTTCCTTTACGGTCAGTTCACCTATGTCCACTGTTGCTCGAAATCATTTACACCCCCATTTTGCTCGGATGTTGACTTTGGCCCAGACGACCTCCCAACACACTGCCACTTGCTGGCAATGGCATCATTTTCCTCAGAGACCGCCAGAAGCTGTTCGAATGGTTCACCAAGTGTGAACGACTCTACGGCTATGAAACGCTACAGATCTCCGTTCCCAGTCTGCCCCCTGGGGTTATCATCAGCGATCCCAAGAACCTAGAATACGTCTTCAAGAACGAGGGCATATTTGCCAAAGGCGAGTTCTTCAAAGGGAGATCTAGGGACTTGTTTGGTTGGTACCAGGACCAAATCTCGACCGTGAGGGTCACCTAGCTTACGGTCCGACAGGGAACGGCATCATCAACGTTGATGGCGAGTTGTGGAAGGTCCAGCGAAAGGCTGGCCTCAACTTTCTCAACACTGCAAACCTGAGAGTTTTGACGGACGTGGCGCTGCCGCCGTATCTTTCTCAGAGTGTTGCTTTCCTGGAGAGCCAGTCCGGCAATGACGTCGTGGACTTACAAGCTGTCTTTCACGAGATCACGACCCAGCTCATGGGGAAAATGGCTTACAATGTACGTTGTAATTCTACTCCAGTTTACCCTGACCTTGTCTTGCTCGTCAGTCCTGCGATCTCTTTTATCTGACGCACAGCATAGATGGAAATGCACGCAGAAGACACATTCGGCCTGGCTTTCGACCACGCATCTGGCGCAACTGCCGAACGGTTCCAAAATCCACTATGGCTGCTCACAGAAGTCTTCACTGGCGCCCGTCTGAGGAAATCCATCTCCATTGTCAAGTCCTTTGGGCAGAGCATAGTCTCCAGCGCGATGAGAGACAGACGAGAGTCCCTTAAACACGAGTCTCACGTTTCAAAAGACCCGGAAAGCGACAGGCTCGACGACATATCCGGCAGTCTGGTACAGTCGTTACTAGACTTCATTGGCGACGAGCAGCTCGTCGCCGATGCCGCGCTGAACTACCTCTCCGCAGGTAAAGATACCACGGCGCAGGCTCTTACGTGGACATTCTACCTGCTCATGCAACACCCCGAGGTCGTGGCCAAGATCCGCGAGGAAGTCGACCACATCAGGGAGGATAGCAAGGACGAGGACACCCTCGAGAAAGCCATTGCGGAACATGGTAACCCGAATACGATGCCGTACGTATTCTCCGTCTTCTACGAAGCGCTACGCATCTTCCCGCCGATTCCTTTCGAGATAAAGCAGGCCGTTCAGGCGACGACGCTACCAGACGACACCTTTTTGCCCCAGAATTCCGTCATTGTCTGGTGCACCTGGGCGATGAACCGCTCGCGCAGCACATGGGGTCCTGACGCGGACCACTTCCGGCCGGAGCGATGGCTGGTGGACGGGAAAGTTATCAACAAGAGCACCTCCGAGTTCCCAGTCTTTAACGGCGGTCCGAGGACGTGTTTGGGAAAGAAGATGGCTGAGATCATTGCCGTGCAAGTGATTGCGACTGTGGCTGGCCTATTTGATTGCGTGAGAGTCGATGACTCGACGAGGGTCAGCAAGAGTAGTCTTACGTTGCCGATGAAGGATGGTCTGCCCTGTATTGTACACCGTAGGCCTGATGTCTAAGTCTAATGATGAATCTGTCTTCCTCAAATGTACTATGCGATTCCCTTTGGTGATCATTCTCAAGTGCTGAAGGTAACCTGGCTTCTACAAATAGGATTTACGATGTTGCTCCCAACGGGCCACCAACAACGAAGAGGGACCAATCTCGCACATCCGCACAGCCAGGTCAAAAATGAGAATGCAGGAGATCGTTCTTAGGTACATAAGGGATCGAAAAGGCCAAAAAGCATAGACTAGCACCGAAAATCGCCAAAGAAATAGCACAACCTGGTTTCGATCCAGGGACCTCTGGGTTATGAGCCCAGCGCTCTACCCCTGAGCTATTGTGCTTTGATGTGGGGCTGATTGCTGACAATTCTGGCGCAGATCGGCCCCTATCAATGCTTTCTTCATCTGCACAGAGCAAGAGCTCAAGAATTTGGCGGGCCTTTCTCAAATCGCCAAAAGTTTCTTGAGCATTGAGTAAACTCAAGCCTCTGCGTCCACTTATGTGGAAGCCCGATATTATATTGGGGGCTCCGGGTCTGATCACTTGTTGAGCAATCCCAAGTCGGGGAAGTACACAACTGCGCTATTGTATCATCAAGTCCGCTCACTCACACAGACCATGTAGAGTTTTGGAAAGATATTAATTGAATGAAGGATCAAGAGCCTATTATGTGCTAGAATTTTGTTCATCATTTCTAGTTTTCTCTAGTCTTCTCATAATTACCTGAACCACCAATTCACAGAGGCATTCAACCTCCCATCATGATGCCCACTCTTTACACTATGCCACCAGCCCTTCGGAATGAAGAGAGCATTTCCCGGACTTAAGTGGGCCTCTGTAATATCCTCATGACTGTCCAATCCCCAAATAGCTGTGTTCATTGCCACCCTCTCGCGGCCCTCCATCATTTCCGTCGATCTGATGCGACTACTCCCCGACTGCTGAAGCTGGGTCTGTACCTGACGATACAGCCGATCGCCAGATGACGGCGGTAACAGGCGGACTGTTTTGCTGCCGACAAGCTGGCAAAACAGATTAGGATTCGGGTCGCGGTGTAACGGAGTATATGTCGGTTCCAACCCGAGCCATAAGCTCGAGTTGTAGACATCGCCTTTACCGGCTTCCAAGACTATACGTGGGATGGGTAGGTCTTCTTGGAGTTCTATAGGCAGATCTGGGAGTTGAGCCTGGGCTATGTAGAGCTGCTTGATCTTCTTCTCGTGCAGGCTGTTGAACTCTGCTGCCTTTAGGAGAAGTTGGAGGGGCGCAACGAAGGACGAGAACTTTGGCTCCGAGGCATTCGGGTTGGATGCTGCGTGAACGATGCCTGCTAGCACTGCGCCCATGGGATCCGGGTCAGACGCGAGCCATGCAAGAAACTGGGTTGTGGTGTTCACTACAACTCCAGATTCTTCGGTGGTCTGAGGGCTCATGAATTCGTATGGGAACATATGGTGAGCGAATCGGTCCAGGTAGGGAGTAAATTTGGTGACTGGTCCCTGATTAGGGGCTGGAGATTGGATGGCCTCGTCTTGCGCGAACCATTTTGAAGAAGCCGAGAAGGAGCTCTGATGACCGGGTTTGGAAGACTGTTGAAACAGAAGTGGCTTCCCTGGTGTGAATGACGATTTTCGGAAGTCATCAATGTCGACTGCGTCAAATGGTGACTTAATAGCTTCTGCCGAGTTCACCGTCGAAAACCCTCGATGAGTTTGGGGTGACCTGAGCGTGCGGCAACACCCCCGGACAAGATGCTTCATGTCTGAGAGTGAGATAGTAATCAAAGGCCAAAGTTCTTCAAAAAAAAAAAAAAAAAAAAAGACGAATTCTGTATAACAACACAAGTGGTCAGCAGGCTACCTACCTTGGGAAGGGCAGGAAGGAGCAAGTAATTTGACTTGACATCACGTGGCTACGTACCTATGGAAAAGACATCTCGGTGAACAGCAATGGAGCAAGCGAGAGGAAGCGCTCTCACCGAGAGGACCGGCGAAGGGAACAACAGCAGGCCCGCCCACCGAAGGACTAATCGAGCGCGCACAGACCAGCACAGTGATTGGACGTAATCTCAGCGGGCTGGGCTCTTCGTGAGGCACCGCAGTCCACAGCCCACCCACCACAACTACAGCTTTTGCTGAGAGGCTCCAAATACCGCTTCTCTTCCCTGCCGCCCAAAAAAGGACCGGGAAAGATTTCTCTGTATCGCAACTCAACTTTGCTAAGGGCACAGCATCCGACCGCTCGCGACATCATCCCTCGACTCTGCAACTTCCCCATCGCCGACGTCGTCCTTCGCGCTCGACATGCGCCGCACTTGACCCGTCACGCCCACCAACTACCCCGCCACCTTTGCGCCCCTGCTGGGAGACTATCGATATCCAAAGCAGCTGTTCGGAGACCATCGCCGTCCTCCATCCGACGACTGTATCGCGCGTGCTTGCCCGCGTCGCAACCCAACCCATTTTTAAACGACACCCCGTCAATACCATCACCTTGGATTACCTCGACGACATGTCCACCTCTTCGGGGGCCCCGGAGTCTTGGATTTCTTCCTTCTGCTCTCTACTCGGCCATGAATACTTCGCTGAGGTTTCTGAGGAGTTCATCGAGGATGACTTCAACCTCACTGGCCTGCAAAACCAGGTCGCGATGTACAAGGAGGCACTCGAGGTATGCAGGTTTTTTTTAACGCATGAATACTTTTTATTTTTATTTTTGCGATTGGGAGCTTGATCGACCTTTTCAGCCCCCGGGCTGCGCGATAGATGTCAATACTGACTTGACCTGCACAGATGATTCTTGACGTGGAGCCTGAAGAGGACGAGGACGAAGAAGAGGAGGAAGATGAAGACGAAGACGAGAACGATTCGGGAGATCAGGATCGACTCGGCCCCAGACACGACCGGAGACAACACAGCCGCATGGCTAGCGACCTTAGCGTTATCGAGTCGTCGTCCGAGATGCTTTACGGCTTGATCCATCAGCGATTCATCTGCTCGAGGGCGGGTATTCAACAGATGAGCGAGAAGTACGAGTTGGGCCATTTCGGCTGCTGCCCCCGCACCAACTGCGACCAAGCGAGAACACTCCCTGTCGGTCTCTCTGATATTCCCGGCGAAGACACTGTGAAGCTATTCTGCCCCTCCTGCCTCGACGTCTATGTCCCTCCCAACAGCCGTTTCCAAACGGTCGACGGTGCATTCTTCGGCCGTACCTTTGGTGCCCTCTTCCTCCTCACTTTCCCGGAATACGACCTCACTAAGCGTGGGGCTGAGGTTCTCAGCAGCGGCGGTGCACGCATCAACGATGATTCACTCGAGATGATCAACGGCATGTACGCTAAGAACATTGCACCAGGCTTGGGCGCTGGGCGTATATACGAACCCCGTATCTACGGTTTCCGCGTCTCCGAGATCGCAAAGTCGGGCCCTCGGATGCAGTGGTTGAGGGACAGGCCGGATGGCATGACTGAGCTGGACGAGGCGCGTCTGTATGCGGATGAGCACGATTCAGACGAGGACGACGAGAACATGAACGGCAACGGCCGGCCCACACCCCGTCGCCGTGCCCCTCCGGGTAACGCGCGTCTCCGTGCAGCGCAACGTCAGGCGCAGAACGGCAGTCCTATGGCCGTGGAGACGAATGGTGCAGAGTCGGAGCTTTAGGTGTTGGTTTGGAAAACGATTCGTACTTATGGGACCGGTAGTCCTCCGGGGTCGGGCGGCGGGTGTGGCGCCGCGCCGGGATGGAGGCAACAGGCCAGCGAAAGAAAGATGTCGGTGCAGATCGAGCGAGACGGTCAAAACGGCTGCCCTGCATAAGGTAGATGGCGTTTAGGAGGCACATCCTGATCTCCGTTGATGAAAGAGGTACGGCGTTGCTAAGGGAGATGCATTACTGAAGTAAAGAACTCATGCCGTTACACGAACTCGGGTTTCAATTCTTTTTTGCAGGCATTGGTGCCTGTTGTATAGGCTTAATGCGATGGCCATTGCATTTCTGGGCCTCGGGACACAGAATATAGACTGCATGCAATTCGACGGTCGAAAACAAGGACTCCTCACCCCGCCCTCGTCGCGATACAGGGAGACGATGCCTCTGGGAAACGGCTCAGCGTCATAACCCCTTGTAGGCAGCAAAGGCCCACGTGAAACCCGTCTCTTCCCCATTGGATACGCAACTCGACGTCCACGCTGCGTCTTCCACTGCCGTGCATCTGCTGGCTCGGATCTGACTGCTAGCAGCGTAGTACTGGGCTAACACTTTCGATTCCACCCCGCCCCCTCCTCTTACCACCTGCTCCTCTCCTCCCGGCCGCATGTATCTGGGATCGCCATCATGCTTAATGCCCCAGACGATCTTCCTAGACCCACAAACCCATGCGGGAAAGAGTCGATGAGAGGACTATACGATCCCGGGTGAATGCTAGACAAGTCTACAATTGAACTCCTGTCTATTTACCCTATGTCTGCTATTTACCCGGATGATGTCACCCTGTACCAACGATGCGGGGGACTGGTACTAGGCTTGTTCGTTGTTAGATCTCCCGAGCAAGTTTAATGTGATTGCCATGGCTCTCCAGTTCGCCTATAAGTCGCCCATGTAGTCTCGAAGATGCCTACCGAGTATCATGTTATAGGGAAGGGCAATTCATATGCATTATAGTAGACATGATGTTGTCACTTGTAATAGCAGCCGCGTGGCTGACCATTTCTTCAACGGCACTGGGATCCAACTCGACCTTCTACAACCCAATAATTCCAGGATTCCATCCAGACCCTAGTTGTATTTTCGTCCCTGAGTGGAATGATACCTTCTTCTGCGCATCATCCAGTTTCAATGCATTCCCCGGCATTCCCCTTCATGCTAGCAAGGACTTGCAGAATTGGAAACTAGTCGGTATGTTCTGATGAATTAAGAGAGTAAATTTTTCACTTACACAGTCTAGGGCATGTTTTGAATAGAAGAGAACAGCTTCCTCGAATTGCAGAGACAAATCGGTCCACGAGGCAAGTCTCCTGATGTCAAGAGGCGCAGCTTGGCTGACGGAATTAAGTGGCATCTGGGCGCCAACATTGCGCTACCATGATGATACTTTTTGGCTTGTGACGACTCTCGTAGACGATGACAGAGACGCGGCAGATGCTTCGAGATGGGACAACGTATGATCCGAATCCACGCTCTCCTTTTTGACGCTTTCTGACTCAACTCTTGGTTCAAGATCATCTTCAAGGCGCGAGATCCCTTTGATCCGGAATCGTGGACCGACGCGATTCATTTCGAGTTTGAAGGGTATGATACGGAGCCATTCTGGGACGATGATGGTAAGACGTATATCAATGGTGCTCACGCCTGGAAGATTGGGTAAGTGTTGTGGATATGAGAACCACTCTGGCGAGAAGCGGGAAGTCAAGAACGCTAAAACTATGAAAAAGGCCGTGGATTCAACAGGCGGAGGCCGACCTCAACACTGGAGAGGTCGGCGAATGGAGGACTATTTGGAATGGAACGGGCGGCTTGGTCAGTGAGAGGAATACTGAAGATTTCGGCAGGACTAACAGGGAGCTAGGCACCGGAGGGACCACACATATATCGTAATGACGGCTACTACTATCTACTGGCTGCCGAAGGTGAGTCCAAGAACAGCAAATATGTTCAGAGAGCTGATAGCAAATTGATAGGCGGCACTGGACTCGGTCACATGGTCACGATGGCCCGCTCAGAGAATGTTGGCGGCCCGTACCTGTCAAACCCGTTGAACCCTGCCCTTACCAACGCCAACACAACCAATTACTGTTAGTAAAGCGCCAAGAATGCTTTCTTTGCATGGTTACTGACCACTAGGCTAACGGAGATCAGTTCAAACTGTCGGACATGCCGACTTATTCCAAGATGCTTCTGGCAATTGGTGAGGAGCTCCACCGTTGTTGTCCTTCAAGTAGCTAATGAGAACCAGGTGGTGCGTCGCTTTATCCACGAGATCAGGACCAGAATGGCTCAACTTCCCAATGGGACGTGAGACAGTCATGACTTCGGCAACGTGGAGCGAAGGGGAATGGCCATACTTTACCCCTATCGAAGGGAAGATGAGTGGCTGGGAAATGCCGTTAGAGAATCTGGATATTGAGGGATCTGGGTACGGATTACATCTCTTGTCCTCCTCATGCAGCCTCTACTAACTGGCCTAGCCAACTGATCTCGCTGGGAGAAGTCGAAGGTGACGCTTTTGACTTCGCCCCCAATTCGGCCATTCCAGACCACCTCACGTATTGGCGGTTTCCAATCGAAAGCTCATACACAGTCTCGCCCCCTGAAAGGCCCAACAGCTTACGCCTAACGCCCTCCAAACTCAATCTTACCGCTCTCAACGGGAACTACGCGGGTCCAGAAGGGCAGACATTCATTGGTAGAAGACAGCAAGACACACTCTTTACCTACAGCGTCGAGCTGGACTTTCAACCCACAAAGGAAGAGGAAGAAGCTGGCGTTACGGTCTTTCTTACGCAAAACCATCACCTTAACTTAGGTGTTGTCTTGCTACCCGCGAGCGCGAGTACTCAAGCCTTCCCGGGCCAAAATCCAACGACGGGGGGAAGCCCGAGTGAACTCAAGCTTCATTTCCGGTTCCGAGGTATATCGTATGTTCCTGTCCCTGCGGATATTGTGGCACCCGTACCAGAGGATTGGGTCGGTAAGCCACTGAGCTTGGAGATCAAGGCGGTGAACATGACGCATTACTCGTTCTCTGCAGGGCCGGCTGGAGCAGCTTCCCAGGCCAAGACCATTGTCTATGCCTCCAACGATGCAGTGAGCTGGGGATTTACAGGTGAGCCTCTTGCTGTTGCTAGAGAAGAGCTTCTGCTGACCTTTCATAGGTGTCTTTCTTGGTGCCTACTCGACCAGCAATGGTGGTGCTGGAGATACGCCTGCTTATCTCTCGAACTGGAAGTACACTCCTCAGGGGCAGTTCAGAGATTAAGAACCACCACAAGCATATCATGTTATTTGGAAGTCATATGTGGTCTACGAGCAAGCTACGTGACGTTACTCTGCACTGACCTATTGATACACAAAGCCTTCCAAGCTCTCGTCCTCTCATGTGATCAAGGTCGTGTGTTAACATTCGCGTCTGCACACCGATCTCGTACATCGTATGCCTCACCCCTTAGTATCACAACGCAACAGGCAAGATGGCCGAGCGGTCTAAGGCGCTAGCTTCAGGTGCTAGTCAAGTAATTGGCGTGGGTTCGAATCCCACTCTTGTCATTAAGTTTTGCTGTTCACGATGGTATCGAGTTACTCAATCTCTTGGGGGATTGAGGAAGTGATACCCTACCTAGCCAGTCACGGATTATGTATATTTGGCTTGGGGAATCGTAGCCACGTCAGATTCGGAGGATGAGCTACTCCATTTTGCCATGTTCGCTGGCCTAGTTTGGGTGTACATGGTGATTGCGGGCATGTTGATTCCAGCATTGCAATGATCACAGTTATAAGACGAACCTATGGCATATTCAGGCAGGAAGCAGTGCTACGCCTACAGGTATCTAGACAAATTTCACAATTGCAAGACCGGTAGCAGCTTGCAGCTAGCTGACGGGAATCGTTGGCTCTGCTAATGTCTGCCAAGGTCGTCACCGAAGAACAGCAGCAGCACCAGATGCGTTGAGAACACCCAAATTCTCCTCTATTCGAGTTCACCGCACTAGTACTCCAGGATCACAATGCCGATTGAGATCGACGAACTGTCGATTCAGACGTCGGAGCCTCTTCCGCGCCCTTGAAGCGTCACACCATCTTGCTCGTCCAGTATCTCGGGACGAACTGGGGAACACATCACTACATAGCAGCACAGCGGTCACAGACGAGGAGCAATTTCAGAATTATTAAGCATTGATTCTACAGACGTGTACAGATTACAGTCCCTCCTAATCTAGCAGGTTTGTTGACCAATGTCAAGGTGCAAGAATCTAATTGTGTCCAGGTTAGCTAGTGCTCTAATGCTAACAAATGCTTGATAAAGTTTTGCTTCAAAGCTACATTCAGACTGTTGAGCTTGATATATTTGAATCAACATAGTATTTTCTGTTGGCCGTTCTTAATGGAAGAGTTGATCATCAACGTAGCAACCCGCAAAAGGGTCGAGTGTGTAGAAAAAAATGAGATCAAGAGCTTACCGAGCACTTCAGGTTCTGTGTGCAGATTGTGGTGAGTTAGAATCCGAGGTGAAGCAGTCGCATCGCGTGAAGGCAGAGCACGCAGGGTATATATAGCATGAGCGAGTTGCGTACTGAAGTACAGTTGACCGTTGAGATGCTCATAAAAGGTCGATACTCGTTCGGGTTGGATCGTCCTTGATATCGGAGTGAAGAAGAGCTTGATTCTTGGAGGAAACGGAAAAGATTTTTTTGTAGTCGATCTCGGCGGCGCACGGCCCATGCGGAACAGGCTCGCTTACTTCAGATGATGGAAACAAGTTGAGCCTTAGGCAATAGGCGGCTCCCCGTCCCCACCAAGGAACGTTTATCTGCATCTATCCCTCGAATTAAGAATCACCCCGCCATTTATGACAGTAGCTGCCATTTAATACTTGCACAATCGCATTCTAACACTTGAAGGGGTTGCCCAGTAGGTCACAGATGTCAGAACCCCCCGCCGCCATCAATATTGGAGACCAGGCCCAAAGACCCGGCCAGGTACTGCCCTATGCCTGAAATCTGGAAGTTGCCCGACAGGTGACGTTAGGTACCTGGCCGCAGTGACGCAGTGCCCAAGGTACCTTAGCCTTCCGTTGCGTGTGCGCTGTGCGCCGCGCCCCTGCCATTCGATTCTATTGTATTAGTCCCCCGCCCCTCTTTACCCATCACCCCTCCTTCGTTGCTCAGCCTGGCGACCGGCGAAAGCTCTCCTCCGACAAAAGTCTCGATCGCTTCAAAGTCCACCGTAAACAAACCGACCCCTCCCTCCGACTCGAAACCTCATCGTCTTCAACACAGCTACCCCTTTCAAATCAGACAAGATGGCGACCAGTAAGTCAATAATGCACTCAACCGTCCCCATCGCTGCCCCAGCTATTGTACTTGCGCGCGCGCTCGCTCTGCGTGTTGCCCCGCATGTCTATGATATTGCCGTGTTTTTTTCGCTCTTCATCGAACCAAGTAAATGGGTAGATAGCTGACCGATTCTCCTTCGCAGACTTCGAGGAAATCGCAAGTGAGTGCTTTCCATACCCGAAAGCCGAACAAGCCTGCATTGCGATGCCGCTGCTTGCCCTTCGACACTGAGCATACTGACGGCCTCCACAACGCAAACAGAGCAGTTCATCGAGTTCTACTACAACCAGTTCGACACGGACCGCAAGCAACTTGCCAGCCTCTACGTGAGAACCATACTGCCACATGAATCGTCTAGGCCCTCGCTAACATCGACAACAGCGTGAGCAGTCTATGCTGACTTTCGAGTCTGCTTCTTCCCTTGGTGTCAACTCCATCGTCGAGAAGCTCTCCGTGCGTATTCCCCGAAGAGACTGCGCAACTGCAATGCGCCGCCTGTAGTCGAGTTACTAACCCCTGCGCCACAGTCCCTGCCCTTCGAGAAGGTGAAGCACCAGGTCACCACCCTCGACTCCCAGCCCACCACAGAGGGCGGCATTATCATCCTCGTCACTGGCCAGCTTTTGGTATGTATACAATATGCCTTGTGGCTGTTCCGCCGTTGCAAGTCTTGTCTAACCAAGAAAAACAGGTCGATGAGGAGCAGCGCCCCATGAGCTACACCCAGGCTTTCCAGCTTCTGCGTGATCCCTCTGGCAGCTACTTCGTCTTCAACGACATTTTCAAGCTGGTCTACGCTGCATAAATTCTCCACGCACTTCAGGAGAGTACGATTTGATGAGGCCCAATATCTGACTTCGAGGGACCGGGGCATGGCTGAGGGCAGGATAAAAGAATCTCTGTCTCCTTCGATTTCTCACTCCCTTTAATCTACGCCGGGTTGAGGCGAGCACGTTGGCAAGGATACCATTTCACGTTTCAAGGAATCCAAAGACGGCTCTGTCCACACATGGCTCCTTAGAGAAATGGGAAAATACCCCTATTATTATCACATGAACTCAAAAAACCTATGACGCCCCTTGATATCTTTGCATGACTTTGTGGCCTTGATTTTGCCTGTCATTCCGTTTCCTGCGCCTCGCATAACTTTCAGTACAAGAATGAGAACCCAAAGGAGAAAATCAAACATCGCCCCCTCACTGTCAAACTTGAGACAAGTGGTCACCGTATCTAGACGGAGCCCATTGGTGTTACATCATCATCGCATTGCCGTCCTTCCCACCTTCAACGAACTTGCATGTGGGCGTCTCCGCTGTCACGAAACACGAGCTGGGCATGTTGACCGCGGACGATCTCCTCTTCCCCACCTCCGTTCTTGATAATGCCGTTACGAGTGGCACCGGGGCCCATGGTTCCGAAGCCAAGGTCGCGGATACGGCCACTGGCAATGTCAAAGATACAGCCGTGGACAGTCATGCCGCGCTCTTTGATAGCCTCCTGGACGGTGAAGTTGGCCATGAGCACGTTGACGCCGGTCTCGACATTCATCTCAGCGATGCGGACCGCCTTGTGGTCCTCGTTCTTGATGGCGTCCAACTCCTTTGCGTTTTGGGCGCGGACTGTCTTCAAGGGAGTGAGCCAGGTATCGAGGACGCCTCCGACGCGGGAGTCGCCCAGCGCCGCTTTGGCGCCGCCGCAGGCCGAGTGGCCGCAGAGCACGACGTGCTTGACCTTGAGGTGGGCGACGGCGTACTCTATGACGGCGGATGTGTTGATGTCTGTCGGGGCCACGATGTTGGCGATGTTGCGGTGGACAAAGACGTCACCGGGTTGAAGGCCCAGGATTGTTGTCTCGGGGACACGAGAATCAGAGCATCCTAGCCACACTATTTTTTGTACGGCGATACGTTAGCCATCGGAGTAAAGGAAGAGAGCATCGATGCTAGCATTCGCAGATGATGAACTTACAGATTGAAGGTGACTGTCCTGAGGCAAGGTTCTTGAAGAAGGCAGGGTTCTGGTGTGATTTGTATCCAGCCCAAGCTTGGTTGGAGCTCAAGGCGTAGAGGAATTTGTTCTCTTTATCCATGACGATGGAACGTCAGCATGTTTGTCTTGAAAGAGGACTCTGTTGCCCAAGGGAGATGGTCGGGTACTTACGGTCATGGAAAGCCATTGTGATCGAATGTACACTTGACGCAGCCAGACTCAAATGTAAGAGCAACGCTGCGGGGGGTATCTAGGAGAATTCGACTACGACTCGATCGATAGTCGGCAAGGACGCAATAGCTGATTCTAGTGTGCAAGGAGGAAAACGGTACGTGTTGCTCCTGTGTCCGGATGCTGTGTGTACGCAACCTGGCTGAGACCTGCCCAGCTGTAGCTTTTCAAACCCGAAAAAGAGTAGTGATATATGAGACCCTTGACTGACGCTCGTTCCTGCTGCGAGGTAGACAAGCCGGGCCGGTTCACTGCTGGGAAAGGAAAGCTGATTTCTGACTGTATACAACGCACGGCAGACGTCAAAGTTGTCGGACGTCCTTGGCTACGAAGGTACGATGCCGGTGTCGACGTAGGTGGGAACACAAGGCCGCAGGATCGAATGTAGAATGCCTGACTTCCTGTCCGGCCGATGGTATGCGAGTTGGAGCTGGTTGGTAGGGACTTTGGGAGTCTGAGATTTGAAGATGGTGGTGGTGGTGGCCAACGCCGAATGCCGTAGTGTAACCTGGGGTTTTCTTGCGGACTGGTCGTGCCACTTGAGTATAAGCAAGATGTATTGAGCTAGTGATGCGTGACGAGAATCGACATATGCAAAGAGATTCCGAGCCTCCAGCGAAGGAAGCAAGGATAGGAAACAGAGAGAGAGACTGAGAGAGGGGAAAGGAGGATGATCCAATGAGCTGAGTGAAGGAGAGTGAGAGTGTATGTGAGAGAGAGTGTGTGTGGTATGTGAAGGGCGAACCAACCTTGTCCGAGAGACTTGCGTTGAGATGAGCCAGAGACTTGTGGTTGAGTTGGAGGGGGAGCGCCGAGGGAGTGGTTGATCCAATGAGAGATGGTGTTGTTGAGACAATGTAAATGAGCTTCAAAGATCAAGCTGAGCTGAGAGAGAGAAAGGTAGTATCAGACAAACGTAGTGTAGTGGGCAAGCAGAATAGACTCGAGATCCTGCAGTAGGCTACATGCAGATATCATAAGATGTCATGCCATGAGCACGCGGGTGGGGGGGGGGGCGAGACATGGAGGATAATATAAGTAGTATGGCGATGCATACTTGGGGGCCCTACATGGAGCGAGCTGATGCATGAGACGAGAGCAGACAGACAGACAGACAGACAGACAGACAGACAGACAGACAGACGGAACACAACCGGGTACCACCCGCAATCCTCTTGGCCGGGACCATGACCGTGACCAAATTTGGTTGAGAACTCTCCGCACTTGGAGACAGAGCCAAGACTTTTCAGACGAGTCGCCCCCAAAGGATTAACGGTGCCACACCCCGGGTCATCCCCAGGGACGAGCACACGGCAGAAGGACAGAAATAGGGTGGATGGGGGAGGGAACTTGGGAGGAGGGGGAGAGACGGGAGAGAAAGACGGAGGGAAAACTTGGGAAAGAAAGACGCCATACCCCGGTCACAGTCTCTGCGATGCACACTATTTCGGGGTTGTGACCTGTGACTTGGGACGTTTGCGCTATGCCTCCGGCTAATCCACCACCCTGGGGCGGTGCGGTGTCCGCATGGCAATGGAAAGCTTGGCCATTGTTCACGGCATATGTCCTTGGCTATTATTTCGTCTCTGATGGACTGGTTTGTGTAGAACATAAATGGGGGTGAAATCCAATCAATTGAAAACACAGGCGAGGCCGTAGTGTGAATTATTCTTGTCTCCGGCCACCGGGTGGGGGCTGAAGGACCGTCTCCGTGCGATGGGACGGCCACCTCCGTCAGTCGGGCACTTATCTCCGTCCCCAGCCCACTATGCTCATGGAGAGTCTTACCGAGCCGCTGACAAGTTGAACTGACTGTTTGACAGACAAGGGCAGTGCCCATATTGAACTTTCCGTGTCTAATGCGGCCGTGGAGTAGTGATCCATGCTCTCTTCTCTGTCTTTGGGCTACCTGCTGGGTAGAGAAGCCATGGGAAAACAGTTGAACCAAGGGCGACTCCCGGCTGTGAAACAGTGCTTGTCAGTGTCATCCCTCACAACACTGCCGTAAAGGCAAGGCATCCTGCGTAATCCCATTCCTTCCCTTATTGATCTCCATGGTGTGAACGACGGTGATCTGACAGATTGGGTTCATGTCGCCATCTCATAATGCAGACTACGATGTTTGCCAATCAGAAGGAGTTTCGAGACTCGGGAATTGTTGACCAGTGTCCATCAATCCCCCAGGAAACTCGTCGTTGACAGGTAAGAACCAGTGAGAAAGAGAAAGGCAAACCAAGATTTCCGAAAGAGGAGAACAGCGTTTGGTGGTTGCTTACTAAACCCAAAGCAGTTAGCCAGCCAATGTAAGCTCTCAAATGAATGATTGCGTGGCAAGCGTGATAGTTGCCGGGCGGGCACTCCCCTCATGTTTCCCGCACCTTTTTCAAAAAGGTATGCTCACCTCTTTACACCCCACACAGGTTATAAATCGCCGGGGAAATGGCCCGGTTCGTATGAAGTGAACAAGCAACATGACCAACGCAGAGTTGTAATAGGCCGAGCACGTCCAAAGCTCGGGTCGCGGTCGCATTCGTGCTCTTTGGATGGACATGGACATTCTCTGTGCCAGAAGTAGAAGCATATGGGTACACGAATGCCAAGAAAACCAGAATGTTTACGATATTTGCGGCCACGGCCGGGCCGGGGCCATTACAGCATTACTTACGGATACAGCATCGGGATCCGAGGTGGCAGAGCACACAAACAATTACAAAGAAGCCCCCGGGTAAGCATCCGGTCCGGGTTCGACGATCATGGAATGCGCCGTCTTCCACAAACATTCGATAAATGGAGAGGATGAAGAAAAGGCTCAAAAGTGCGGATGTAAAAGACAAGAAAAGAACCAGCCAGAATAGGGCTGTCTGCATTTACCATTCTAGGGAAGATTGCTCAGCCCAGAATACAAAACGCGTAATGCACCACAAGGTTCACCGGCTTGGCGTGCAGCAGGCCAGCAGCTCTTCAGCGTTGCACGCGTGCAGAGGCCCTCAGGTCACCAAACCCGCGCACCTACAATGAGAGCATGTTCTCAGACGTTGTTCTTGGCAGTCACTTTGTTGAGAAAACCCAAAGTTTTGCCATCGTACGGTATTTTCGATGGTCGATCAAAGAGCACGACAGCACTTGGACCCTTGCGCCTCTCTCTCTCTGGATGAAGTTGTGGAACCCCTGTCGTCGATCAACCCCACAGCCGACTATAACTGGCTGTGCTTGTTGCTACTCTCGTTCTACAGAGTGGTCCTGTGGTATCTCACGCTGTCGCATCTCGCCAGATGCGACTTGCCAAGACTTTTGGGAAGAAAGGCCGTCGGTAAGTAAGGTACTGCCTAGACTTCGGCGTCGATGGGCGGACATACCCGTTCGCCTTAATAATTGGTCGACTTGGCTTTTGTACGGATATGACTGCGCCATGAGTCCATGACAGACCACCATCATATATGACTTTAACAACTCCTCGATTCACAGCAAGAACTTCGGCAAGCTTTGACAGTCTTCTTATACAGTAACAGGCTGAGATCTTTCGCAGTACACTTTCACAATTTAGCCTTACAACTAGCAGACCGTAAACCCTAATATCACCGTTGATGGGAATTGGAGCAGGAGAATTACAGCAGGACAACATGTACTGGTATGGGAGTAAAAGGGTCGTGAGATCACTACGTCATGAGAGCAAAGCATGAACTTGAAACCCAATAGAATAATCCCGACGCCATGCCAAATTTTTATGATCCGATAGCCTCCAGTGGCCTAGTCTCCTAATACACTAAAGTAGTCCGGGTATTGTTCCATCTTAGACCTTGATGGCGTTGTCAAGAGCCTTCTGCTTCTTCTCGGTGCGCTTCTGGGCCTTGGCGCCCATGATACCACCACCCCACTGCTTGCGAGCGTTGTCGGTCTTCTCCAAGTATCCGTCCTTGATGGCGGAGACAAGCTTGGAGAGCTCGCTCTTGTCCTCGGAGCGGACCTCGGTGAAAGCGAGGACAGCGGCGGTCTTCTTGTGGACGACGGTTCCGAGGCGGGCCTTGCCCTTGATGATGGCGAAGGGGACACCCATCTTGCGGCAGAGGGCGGGGAGGAAGATAACCAACTCAATGGGATCAACATCGTTGGGGATGAGGACGAGGGAAGCCTTCTTGTTCTCGATCAGGCCAACAACATGGTTGAGACCGTACTTGACAGTGTAGGGCTTCTTGGAGACGTCCTCCTTCTTCTTGCCGTCCTTGATGGCGGTGGCCTCCTTGACGAGGCGCTCCTTCTTCTCGGCCTTGGTCTCAGGGCGGTACTTGTTGAGGAGCTTGAAAGCCTGGGCGGCGGTGTTGCGGTCGAGGACGTGCTGGAACTGGGCGATCGCAGGGGGGACCTTGAGGCGCATGTTCAAGATCTTCTTCTGGCGCTGAAGACGGACATACTCGGGCCACTTGACCATGCGGGCCAAGTTGCGACGGGGTTGGATGTCCTGGCCGATGCCGTAGTTGCGGGGCTTGCGCTCGATAAGAGGGTTCTGCGATCATTGTCAGCCATCTATGGAACTGCGCGCGCAATCACGGGGAGAGCATGTACTGACCTTAGGAGCCTTCTTGGAGCCAGCCTTTCCCTGAGGGAAAGGGGCGGGAGCCACCTTCTTACCGGACTTGGGAGGCTATCATTGAGAAAGCAAGACATCAGTGAATTGTTCAAATCAACTTGTGTCTTCCTTTAACTCTAAGGAGAAGGACGGAGAAGCATTGGAAGTGAATCCAACACTTCGCCGTCCCTTCCAGCCAAATCATCATCAACGGCCCGTCTCAACAAGCAAGCTTGCTGAGAACCGACGACCGAGATGGAAAGTCACAGTCCGCATGACAGCGAAACTGGATATTGGCCTCGAGGGCAGATGGAGTCGTCTTCGTTCAATGTGTACTCACCATTTTGTCGGTTGTCGTGATACTGCCTTTGGCGGGGATGGATGAAGAATTGGTCAACAGTAAGAAACGCAGATTTCGGGAGACGAGGATAAGACGTTGTTGGTGTGGGCGCAAAAAAATTCGATTAGGGCAAGATAGGGTGGGTACCCGATAAGAAAATTTACAACGTGGGCGTGTGCCTTGACCGTACCGGGGACTTCGTGTGTTAAAGGTGCCGCTAGGCTTATCTTCACGTGATGGCCATTTCCCTGTCCGATAGGTGACTGACAGGCCTGACAGGCACGACAGAGCACTCGACCCCACTGCCAAGGAAGATGGAATGTCACTTTCTCGGTGTAGCGGCACCAACTAAAAAGTTCACAGAGACCTAAGCACCTACCTCATTGTTGGTCAAATTATTCACCACCATTGGACCGATTCTCGACAGTAGGTACCCATGACAAGTTTTGACGCCTACTTTGGTTTGATATCTTAATCGTTAGATTTGTTCGCTTGCCGACTCAACAGTGCAAGCTGGCAGGGTAGAATTGAGACAGCAAGTGCGGTACACATGCAAGAGCCTCGTCTCTTCATTGTAAGTCAGTTTGGCAGAACTTGTTATTCCTAACAAACCAGATTCCACTCAGGAGGGACGTAAAGTTGGGGGGGGTCGATAGATGTGATGCATGGCACAGCGTTCTAGAGAGCAAGTCCAGTCGCTTTTCTGCAAAAGAGGCACCCTAATGAATGGTAAGTGACCGTAGGGAGTATGGTAATTAGTACCTTTGTAAGTGGTCGAAGGTCCAGGCACGGAATCCCGCTTTGCGGTACGTACCTACTGGACCGACGATGATGACTCCAAGGCCATCAAAGCCACACGGCAACACATGCCATTCTCAAATTTTCCGTAACCTCAATGTAGCAACAACCTCTTTTTTTTCTTCACTGATCCAAGTCCCCAGACCGAGCTCCACTCGAAATACATTTTACGTGGAGAAACACACGCCCACGTACAACCTGCTTTCAACTTTTCGATTCAACTCAGTTATCCTGTCTGATCCACCGCGGGGTACCGATTTCAAAGTTCGTTGATTCAACTGGGGCGAGAACCTTTCGAGCGCGGAGTGGCGCTGAACTTTCGACGTTGAAACGACACTGTTCGTCCGGGACGCCTTTCTTCTCACCAGAGACCGTACTTACTCCTTGCGCGTGGTGTAGCAACCAAAATGGCACCAGTGCTATGCGCAAAGTGCAAAACCGAGCGCGCTCTCGTGAAGCGGCCCAAGAACCACCAGAAGCTTTGCAAGGGCTGTTTTATCTCAGTATTTGAGGAAGAAGTACATCACACCATCGTCTCCTCTTCACTATTCTCTCGGGGAGAGCAAGTAGCTATCGGGGCCTCGGGTGGCAAAGACTCGACCGTCTTAGCAAGTGTCCTCAAAACCCTTAACGACAGGTATGATTACGGCTTGAATCTCGTACTCCTCAGCATCGATGAGGGCATCAAGGGTTATAGAGACGATTCACTCGAAACCGTCAAGAGAAATGCCGTTCAGTACGATATGCCCCTTACTATAGTAGGGTACGACGAGTTGTACGGCTGGACGATGGACCAGGTTGTCGAGGTGATTGGAAAGAAAGGCAACTGCACATATTGCGGCGTGTTCCGTCGACAGGCGCTGGACCGTGGCGCCAAGATTTTGAACATTAAACATGTCGTCACGGGCCACAACGCAGATGATGTTGCTGAAACCATCCTAATGAACCTCTTGAGAGGAGATTTGCCACGGCTGGGTCGCAGCACAAGTATCGTCACTGGCGACGATACCAGCGATGTCAAGCGCAGCAAACCCCTCAAGTACTCCTACGAGAAGGAGATTGTGCTATATGCCCATCATAAGAAGCTCGACTACTTCAGTACCGAATGCATTTACAGCCCCGAAGCATTCCGTGGCACTGCTCGCACCCTGATCAAGAACCTCGAGCGGGTGCGGCCAAGTGCTATTTTGGACATCGTCCGCAGCGGCGAGGACATGGCTCGGCTTGTTGCGGGAGGTTCGAGCAGCTCTTGTGCTTGCAAAGGAAGCGCTCCCCGTGTCGCCGAGGATGACTTTGTTGCTGGCTGCGGCTCGCAGCAAAGCAAAGGCCTCGAGACAGAGATTGCTCAGTTGGATGCAAGCTTGAGTCAGGCAACTCTGGCCAGATCTCAAGAGACAGACTTCACGACTGCTCCTTCACCTTCACCAAATACCGCAAAGAAGACTCAAAAATCGTCCGAGACGCCTAGATCTAGACCTGGCCAAGCACAAACAGCTCCAAGTGCTCCCTTACAGACGTTGGGCAAGTGTGAGAGATGCGGCTACATGTCTAGTCAAGCCATCTGCCAAGCTTGTCTGTTGGTGGATGGGTTGAACAAGAATAAAGCGCAGATTCGATTATAGAGACAATAAAGTCATCGTCTCAAGCCAGGTTGGACAGACAAATGCCATGTCTTCCCGTAGCCCGTATCCCACCTCCCCCTTCGATGTGATTTGGTGCATGAATCCGGCTTGTTCGTGTCAACAACCGCATAGGCCACGGCAGTAGGTTTTGAACTGAACAAGAAATAAAAGTTTCATTGGGTGGCTGAAGTGGACGATGAATAGTGAAAACCCCATGGTTTCCAGACAAGGTAGCATACATATTTTTGTTTCCCGCCATCCTCTATGACATGCGCTTCTCCAACTGTACGGTATGGTCAGCCAAAGTCCAGCCAATTGTCGTAAGAAAAAACGTACTCTCCAAGGGTGGTTCAATTCGAAGCCTGGAGGCGCTTCGTGGTTGGCGACCTGTCCACGCAGATCGCCCGTGAGTCTGCGATCCCGGTCCATCACTATAATACCTTCGGATTAGCTTTCGAACAAACAATTGTGTATATTTCGGGTTGATCAGGCACGTACTTTGCTGTAAGAAAGCCAGGTTAGCAATGTAAATCTCAAAGTAATTCCAGATCATGAGCACTCACCCTATCCCACTGATCCAAGCCCCAACGGGGCTTCTTTCCACCGTTCTGGATGCCCTTGATGACGTGCAGTCCGGTACCAGTGATACCAAACATCTGAATAGGACATTAGTCTCCATCGTGAAGGTTGACAATGTTTCGCGCCGGCGCAATGGCTGTCGCAAGGTAGCTCTTACAGCAATCATGATTCCATAGGGAATCAGAGTCTCGAAAGGGACGGGCATGGTAGCGGTTGGCCGTTCGGCTAGGCGTCGTTGTTCGTCGGTATATATGTATCGAGAGGGCGCAAGGCTGACAAGAGACACAGCTTGCAGTCGTCGGTGTCTGCGGGAGACGTCGTTGAATTCCGGCTTCCTTGAATTGACTGGCCAATTGATGGAAGCAATCCGCAAGTCGTCGGGTCCTCGGACTGGGTCTTTCTGAGTCACGTGATATTTCAATCGCGTCAGTACTTTTGGGATGGGGGTGATTGGCTGAGCACTGTCAAGGGGTTCCGCAGCTTACCATTGGTCACTGGGGGAGAGATTGAATTGAAGTGGGAACCATCTAGGTATTGTTCTCGTCCCTGGCAACAACCCCCCTCCCCCGAGGACCAAGTGCGAACCGAAGCTTGAGGTACCTTTCCGTAGTACCTTACGGATACCTCACTGGATAAACAGCTGAAGCAGTCCCAGACCCCGTGACCCAGGTACATGTCGCGCCTGCCCACCGTGGGAACCTCACCTTCAACCCCGGTGCGGACACAGTGCTAAGCCGACTGATTACTGTACGCGCCACAGTTGTGGAAGTCGCATCCCTTGGCTTGCGCCAGTCTGTCAACCATCTGCGCCTCGAAGAAGCCTTGAAAGCAATTGCTAGCTTTCCTACAGTTGAGGAGGAATCTGCGTCAGCCATTCAGCTACGCGTTCGACCCTCGGCCCAGAGACAGCATTCGATCTGTACCAACGCCAGTGTATGTCTGTCTGCCGCGCATCGTCGCCTAAGGCCATACGCGCTCAACTCTCGCAGCAACGCTCGCTCAAGACCAGCCGATTTACCACAATTGTGCGCCAGACTCGCTCGACCCTTTGTCCTTCTTGCTAGCTATGGGCAGCGAACACCGAACTTTTGTCATCTACGGGCAGGATTCGAAACAGTAGCTCCGACAAATAATCGCAATCCGCAAACTCTTGCGGCCTTCGAGCCTCGTCGGCAAGATGGCAAGCGCGCAGCTCACCGAAGAAGAGCTGCAGCAGAGCGCACTTCTCTCAGATGAAGATGCCGAAATCGAAGACGCACCGGCCGCGGCTGCCGGAGACTTGCCTCAGGATACCGAGAGTCCCTTGACGAACCCTAACACGCAAGACGACGAACTTTCGGATGCGGTCGGCGATGAAGGCGATGAAAGAGACGCGCCTGCCTTGGACGATGATATTGAAATGGCCGAGAATGCAGACGATAATAGCGAACTTTCCGAGCAAGACTCTCTAGAAGAGAACCTAGATGAGTATTCTGGTGGCGACATGGATCAGCGCTTGGGACAAGACGATGGAGACGAAGCTTCGGCCGGTGCGCGCAGTCGCAGCAGCAGCTTGCTAGATGACATTGAGGAGGATGAGGCAGAGGGTGTTGGCGCTGTGAAGATCAGGCCAGGCGAAACCGATGACGAGGAGGCAGATGAGCCGGACAGCGAGCACTCGGAGTCGCACAGTGAGTCTGGCAACGAATCCGAGGGAGACGATGCGTGGGATGAGGTCGCCGTAGAGGAAGAAGAAGACGAAGACGAAGGTTCAGAAGACGCAGCCATGAACACTTGCATGTTCTGCAAACAAGATGAAGAACAAGATCCAGCAGAGGACTTCGAAGAGTACTTGGCTTGCGTTGGATGTGGGGAGAACTGTAAGTGCTCTGCATCTTCGGACGGAGCAAGATCACGCTGAAAGCTAACAACGTGGATTTAGCACATCAACATTGCGCCAGAGAGGCTGGCGCGTTGCAAGAGTTTAACAGTAATCACTCCCCTCCTTTGTCAAGCCTTGCTGTGTCTAATCATTTCTTGCAGCTGCTCACCAGTGGAAATGCCCCGATTGCGCGACTGCTGACGATGCACCCGCCGATGAGTCTCAGAGGAACGATTCGCACGAATATGCAGAGAAGCATGAAGTTGAGCAAGAGCCAGATGCTGAGCACGAACTTGGACTGTCTCCGTCGTCTAGACGGTCAACAGCATCCCAAGTAGCGCGAGACCTGCTTCCGCCCCAAAAAGGCACCTCCAAACCCGACTCTCACTCGGTCTTTAATCATCTTCTTTTGAATGAGGATCCTATGGACGGAACTCGAGTTCTTCGTAAGCGCAAGACGTCTTCTGTCGAAGCTGAGGAAATTGTCATGTCGCTCAGAAAGCGTCGGCGAAACACGTCCAAAGACAGAGAATCAAGCCATGGCGCAGGCACAGCACAAGAGGGTCCCAACGGAGCTGGGGAGAAGGATACACGACGCACGCTACGTCTACATCCCCCTCGAAAATCGCAAAAAGGGGTTACCATCACTCGACAGACTCGGTCCACCATTATCAAGATGCGTGTAAAGCCATCCGCCCTTCGCCGGGTGCTATCAAAAAAGTCCTCGTCCAGTCGAAGAAGAACGGAGAAAGTCATGGACACGACCACTCCATCCCACGATAATTTGGCTGCAGCTATGGCAGCTTCGTTCACTTCTACTGACTACTCACATCCCTTCTATTCCTTCTTGGACCGGGAAACCGACGACGTGAGAACAAAGCCGTACGGAGGCATTCTCGATGAGAACGAAGCCGACACATCACGGACTTTACCGACCAATGATGACCGTCGGAAATTCGATGAGGCCAAACAAAAAGCCGAGGAGGTATGGCGAGCTCGCCTTCACAGCGTCCAACTCAACCTAGCGACACCGGCCAAGAGGCCCAAGAAAAATGCTGGACCAGCGAGCCAGATTGAGTGCATCGATTTTGGAGGCTGGGAAATCGACACTTGGTATGCCGCTCCCTATCCCGAGGAGTACAGCCGGAACCGCACTCTCTACATTTGCGAATTCTGTCTGAAGTACATGAACTCGGACTATGTCGCCTGGCGTCACAAACTCAAGTGTCCAGCCAAGCACCCACCAGGTGATGAGATATACAGGCATGGATCAGTTTCCGTCTTCGAGGTTGACGGCCGGAAAAATCCGGTCTACTGCCAGAACCTCTGCCTCCTCGCCAAGCTATTCTTGGGGTCCAAAACGCTCTACTACGATGTTGAGCCTTTCCTCTTCTACGTATTATGCGAATACGATGCTCTTGGCTACCATTTTGTTGGGTACTTCTCCAAGGAGAAAAGAGCCAGCAGCCAGAACAACGTTTCTTGCATTTTAACCCTGCCTATACACCAGCGAAAAGGCTACGGCAACCTCCTGATTGACTTTTCATACTTGCTCACTCGCGTGGAGCGCAAGACTGGATCACCCGAAAAGCCTCTTTCGGACATGGGTCTCGTCTCGTACCGCAACTACTGGAGGCTGGTACTCTGCCGGTATCTCCTCGACCATGTCGAAGAGGATAAATCTACGGCACCGGGCCTCAGTGTTCGACAGATGTCCGATGATACAGGACTGACTCCCGACGACGTTATTTCTGCCCTCGAAGGTCTCAGGTGCCTCGTCCGTGATCCATTTACGGAGCTATATGCCTTCCGTGTCGACCTTTCGTACTGTAACGAATACATAGCAAAATGGGAGAGTAAGAATTACGTCAAACTGAATCCAGACGCGCTCACCTGGACTCCGTACGTCATGGGGCGAGGCAATGCTACAAACTTTGAGTTGGGCCCAGCTATCAGCGCGATTGCACCACGAGAAGAAGATGACATTCACAAACCTGTACAGAGTGCATCGCTACCAGCCCCTCAACAAGATACAGCAGCCAATGGCATTGCCGACAAACGTTCTGTTGCCGAAGGCGGCTCATCGACCATCGCTGAGGATGCTGATGCAGAAGCAACTGGGTCGACTGTGGAGCCTAACATTTACGAATCCACAGAGTCACATCAAGACGGCCTGGTGAACGGCGAGGCTGGCTTAGAACAGGCTTATGAAGAGCCGTCCCAGCTCAAGGAAGTTCTCCAATCCACTCCCGAACAACCGTTTGAAGGCGACTGGGCCAGCTTGTACAAAGACGTGCCACCATCGAGGTTCGAGGTGTACCCGCCTCCTGGCGGTCGTCGGTCCGACCGGCCGCGACCCAGTGTACCTCGGCCTGTTGTTGCACGAACAACGAGCAGCAACTCCAGGCAACGGCAGTCGGGCGGCGGCAGCAGCAGCGCGAGACGAACCACATCGAGCCGTCCCAAGAGCAAAAGCTCATCATCGTCATCACGGCGGAAAACGGGAGGAACGGGACGTGGACCGGGCCGTTGGCCGAAGGGTACTAAGAAAAGCGATTACGGCAATGCCGACAGTGGGCCCGGTCTCCCGCCGGGTTGGCTCAGAGAGAAACAAGAGAAGCAGCGGCTGGCTGGCCTTCCGGTGACGAATGGCAAAGAGGTCGAAGGCCTCGCCGCTGAGGGCAACGAGACGATGGATGTGGTTCGCGTGCAGTTTCAGGAAGGCGAACACGAGGACGCTGGCGCCGAGGAAGCAGGAAGCGACCTCAATGGTGACGTTGGCGGCCAAGCAGAGAACGAGTGATGCCCAACAGCCGATACCCCCTTACACTATTATTATTCCTAGTCTCATTTCGAGCCGACCTGTAACATTGTTTCTAGTAATGCAAGCGCAGCAACTGTTCGTTGATCTCTGTCCTCTGTGGTTCTTGTTCAACCTGACAGCACTGGTGCGACGTAATCGGCCAGTGACTCTATTGCGGCTGAAGGTAGCTTGGAGACATGTTAGCACTATCAGTAGACGCATGCCTTGGAGATAAATCATTGATTTTTGTTTACATGTATATCCAGGCACCTTGCATACGTGAAGGAGACGTCAGACAAGTCTTCTATCGGGCGCCTTATTTGAGTTAAGCAAGCGTGGTTAATATAGGCATTAACCAAGAGGTGGGCATTACTGAGTATTGAGTTATGGCTGACTGTTATCTGGTTCTGATTTCTGTGGCATCCACACTTTGCCAGCCACACGGTATATTGAACCTCAACATTCGCGACGCTCAGTTTTATGAGGGGACACTGGTTTCCTTTTTTGTTCCGTCAATCACGGCCGTGTCTCCGGCTATCTG